ATCACGTATTTTACCAACTTCGAACTTCCACTTCTTGAATAAACTTCCATGTAATGTAATATTGCTCATTAGTCATTAGCTAATTTGTTTTCTAAAGTTTTCTCATATGATAATCATCATCAATCAATTTCAACTACATCTTATAAAAATGTTAATTACATTTTAGTATGTATGTATCTATTCAGATATTCCTTGAAACAAACTGCTCATACACAGCAAAAAGCCTGGAACAAAAAGTAGGTAAAAGAGATCATACCAGTAAATAAATAAACAGGTACCTATAACTATCAACAAGATAAGATAAATAACGATTATACGCGCCGCCCTCGGGGAGCGAAAAAAGAAAACCACCAGGTGCATTTTCCTCGGCTATATGAAAGCCGCCGGGATGGCGGCGACGGGGGCAGGGGGGAGGGCGCGGGCGGTGTGCAGTCACGGTTGACTACGATGTGTTGGCACACGGCACACTTGATGGCTTTCCATATCTCGTCGCCGCCGACGACGCTGTCGACGCTCAGTTGACGCTTTGCGGGGGTCTACGAAGCCGTCGCGGCGCGTCGGAATTCGACGCCGCATCGAGCCGGCTCGCTCACGCGAGGTTGCACTAGGCGGCTTTGTTCTTCTCGTTTTATTTGCGGATATGCTAATGGGATGGATGGAGGAGATTCGTGGGTTTTTCCGGCGAGGATAAATGGAATGGAAACGAAAAAAAATTGGAGATATTTCTTGTAGGGATGTCGATTGTTTAGGGAAAAAATGCTAAAATCTTGGAGTAGCTGTCGAGTGAATAAGAAGTAGGGAGAAGTTATATCGTTAAAAATTTTTCCAGAAATACCTAAATTCATTGAAATGTACCCCAATTCTTGCGAATTCTTTTCAGTTATTTAATAATAACGCAAGAAGGGAACTAACTTTGTACCGGTGCCTAGTTAACAGTAACACCGCTTAACTGCTTAATCGATTTCAAAATCGTTGGAATAACTTTATTATCAATATTGTCACATTCCTCTTTCATCGAGTATACACATTTTAGAAGGCGTCTAATAAGTAATAACAGTGAAAAAGAGTTACCTCCGACGACTAATCCAATTTAATTAGGAATCCTTTTTTGCGCGACGCTTCCGACGCCCGTTCGCTCGCTTTTCCGCGAAGTAACGCCCGAATTACGGTCGAGCTGCACGGATGAAATAGGTGTTTTTTGATGGAAGCCGGGTTTTTCTGCGACTTTTTAAATCCGGAGAGCGCAAACCCGCTTTGGAAACTATCCCAAAGTAAGTTGAGCGGACGGAAAATTATTTGACCGGGCATTGTCGTTTCAGCAAAAAAAATACTATAGCAATATAAAGATACTTTTTATACAGTCGGTGCAAAACAAACATTAATGCACGTCACCTATAATTCACAAATAGACAAATTGAAAATTAAGGGTACCTCTATCACATTTCTAAACGTCGGACGTATTTAGGAGCTCACTATAATTAATCATCAAATTCCTTTATCATCTGAAATATACTTAACAGTTAGAGTAAAAATTTTTGCGTACAATTGACTCTTAAAAAAGTACACAGTGAAATATCTGAGAAAACTTATGAAATCTGAATTATTTAGAGCTCAAATTGTGGCATTTCTAACATGTGGAAAAGATAACAACGCAAAAAATTCTTATTTCTTAATTATTCGGCTGAATAGTCTTTAGTAGTTTGATTAAATTCTGCAGGTATTAAGCTTAATCCATTTTGTGTATTTATTTTTAATAGTTGAGCATAATGTTTGGCAAATATGACGACATTAATGAAGTGCATTGATATTTGTTTGGCACCAACAATATGTAATTAATATTGCATTTTTTGGGTAAGTGCATTATGGTCAATTCAATCGTCGGACAAAGAAAGATTTTTAATATGACAATGGTTAGAGTGAGAAATCCCACAATATTATAGGTACTCCTTCTTTTTCCTTTATATGAAACTAATGGAATTGTCTTTATTGCACTCATATAGCTTCTACATTGCAAGCAATTTAGCATCTATCTGTATATTCAATTCTTTTCGAAAATACATTTTACATTATGAACACATTCATATAGTTTGTTCAAAGATTCTTCTCGTGACGTCATATTAAGTTAATTGTACAAGAATTTATCTATAGAGTTGCCCTTACGTTACCAACTAAAACGATTGCGGATGCAAACTTTCTACTCCTCCCTGTCCCCACAGTATTTCATTTCATTTTCATTAGTTTCCTGCTGTTCCGATACAACTCTAATATAACTTTAATACCGAAGTATGCAGACTAAAAGCTTCCATGAATTAAATAATGCCCGCTTAAAAATTCCTCGCGCTAATAATTAACGAACCAATTAGCATTAGTAGCTGAAACTTTTTCGATGACACACCCGGCTCTATTATTGATACAGCGGCAAAAATAGCCGCGAATTTTATGCATATATGCATGCCGCTCGGGCGACGGAACTATCCGGCGAATCCGTAATTATTCCGCCCTCGTATATTTCGGCGGTCGCACGCCTCACATCACATTTACCCGAGCTGTCTCCATCTCCGTTCTCACCCCATTTATCAAAATTCTACCCCAGATACCGAGCGAACTAATTAACCGCGTTATTTCTATATTCGCGGATTAAGCTCGCCCGGCGAGCACCGAACGTTTGTTCCTTCGCACAAACTTCATTAGTTACTTAATTACGCCGGTATAGCTCCTAATCATGCGTAAGACGAGTGGGCTTTGAATTTCGATTGACATATCTAAAATGTCTGTCAAGATTTGCTATTTTTTAGAACAGTATTTTTGCGGACTAAATTCTTCATCGTTGAAGCATAAAATTCGCAATTTCCCGGGAATTTTCTCGCGCTATGACACGACCGGCGTTCGCCATCAGCGACGCCGGGCGTCGGCGGCGTCGCGAGCCCGGTTATACTTTATCCGTTATGTGTATAAATGCGGAGTAACGATAACGACGCTCCGCGCCGTCAGAGCGCCGCGTCGCGGCCCGGCAGGACGTGCCGTAAATATGGGATAATATCCGAAGTTGCGGATTTGCCGCGCTTACGGTACTGCCTACGGCGAAATTGGGTAGAAAGACCCCTAAATCTCGAGGTGAGGTAACACCTATATCTCTGCTTAGAGGAGAGGATAAGGGAGTTTGTTTGGTAAAATTGGACTGAAGCTGGAAGATAGCGGACGTTTTAATTGGTATATAGGCTTTTTGGTTAGGTGTTTGATAATTGAGAATGTTGTGAATATAGGGAGGCTCGATGGTGTGATAAAAATAAGGTTTTGATAAGGGCACAATTTAAAGATACTTTGAATTTGAAAATTTAAGGTATAGGAGCATGATAACTAAGGGAATCGGGGAAATATCTTCAAAGATTTATTATCTTGCACATTTCAATGAAGTATTTTAACCATTTCTTAAAAAAAATGCTTGATACCTACTGAAATACCGGGTGTATCTGAAATAAGTGGGCAAACTTTTTGGAAACAAGTGTCATTTTATCGAAATGTCTTTGGTTATCGGTATACAAGGTGTTAAAGATGGATTCTTGAAGAGGTATTTTTATTAATAATTTCCTTACCAGCAAAGTTAAAATTGCTGAAATTTGGTACACATACTAAGCAAATGAAATGTCCAGGGCTGGGTTAAAATGGGTGGTTCGTGGGGTAATTCTAATCTAACTTTTTTATTTTAACCTTTTCTATTGATTTGTTTAAAGAATATGAAAAAACGAAGTTTTAGACACAAGAAAGTATACTTATTGATTTTCCGTAAAGTTAACCATTTTCACGAAAAATGACTTTTAAAATTCTGACACAAAATTATTAAACTACATATTGTAATCAAATTATTTTTGGTTGTAAATTTCATCTCTGTCAAGCTTGGTTTCGAAAGATTCTGGAGTTTCATTGGGTACAAGAGTACATACAGAAAGATTGAGTAATTGGCGACTACTTAAGAGTACATTTTGGAATGATGTTTCTTAGACCTGAGGAAGTTGTTGAATTTTTTAATAACGAACTAAATTTTTTGCTTCCAAGCGATGAGAGAGTTATATAATTTCGCAATTATGTCAATAAAACGTATAAAAAACGTCTAATTTATTAGTGTGTTATTAGATTTTCAAACGGATATATACGCGAAAAATTCGTTCGGCGAACTAAAATCAGAAAAAAAAAACATATGATTATTCATAATCATACGGAAAAATATAAGAAAAATACTATTTCTCGCTTTATATTTGTGAAAACGGTGACATGTAAAAATCTTCCTCAGATGTAATTTTAATTTAATTTTATGTGTATATTTAAACCTATATATTTTATTAAAATGTACATGTATTTTTTGTTACAAATATACGTTGAAAATATATTATGAAATTGTTAAATCGGATTAAACAATTAGACCCCTACGGGTTTAATACTTAATCCCTAAAATTTTAAAACCTGGCAGAGTTCGAACAACCCATAATGACTACCTGCATTTTGTGGCAGAGTTCGGATACTCCGATTGTAATGTATTAAACTATATTTTGAGGTTTTCTACTTGCATCCAATGTTTGACCACTTATTTCAGAAACACCCTGTGTAACGAATATGAAAGGATCTACAACGACTTGGAAATCCCACTTTTGTGTAAGATAAATTAAATAACTACAGCACCAAAATGAAACACTACATTAGGACATCCATAAATGAAACTTTTGAAGTAAAATTTCTGTTTTCCTTTTAGCAAGATATGTAAGAAATACACACTAAATCCTGAACCCAACATAGTAAATTTCATAATTTCCTCCATCCATTAGATTTCCTATGTACTTTTACTCCTCATACGTAAGCACCACAAACGCTATCTGCAGCAGTCACGAACAATTCGAAAATTACAGCTTGCACTCTAATCCATCGCCTTAAATTTCCTCCGCCGTACTTGCCAAACTACCGCTTCATTAGACACGGCACACATCAGGCACCGGGCGCAAAAAACCCGAATGTGTGCGGCGGTTTTATGCCCGGGCAGCGGGGGCGGAACGGCCGAAGGGAATAGAAGTTCGGAGCGGCCGGGCGACCCGCCGGCGTCCGCCGCACCGCCGGGACCGGGATCGCGACCGGATCCGAATTTAAATCAGGCTAATCGCAAGGAAGGAGGGCCGCCGCCGCCATCGGGCGATTGCGAATTTCGGATCGAGTAGGCGGATTCCGGGGCCCCGACGGGTTTCCGGACCCCGGAGTGATGTTTCGTGACAATATTGGACGGGGGACGAGGGTCGACGACGGTCGCACGGGGTGGTCGCGCGGTGAAATTGCTCGGAAGGAGATTTATTTTCGGTCGGCGTATGTTGGAGAGTTTACGAGTTAAATGCGGCGTAAAGTCGGAAAAAAGGGGGCGCGATTCAACGACATACTGTCGAGGGTGTAAAGTCAAGAGGGGAATCTAATTAGCGGTTAAATAGATGCAAATTTAGCTGGAAATTTTTGTCGTCGATTGCTTTAATTGAAATATTGAAATGGAATTTCATTTCGCATGTCATCTATAGACGAAAAAATCAGGTAGAAGACAAAAAACCAGTAAAATCTTCTATTTAATATAAATATTTTATTGTATATCATCCATTTTTAAAGAATATGGTGAATGCGCTAGTACGCCTACACCATTTATTTTTAATACAACAATCCCTCCTCTAAAAATTGAAGTTATTCAAGCGAACCGTCACGAATTTCATCGCAAACGATCGAATCCAAAATTACTTATTTATCAAACTTTTTCCATAGACATTTCCACGAATCATCATAAATCGGACTCGGCCCGATAAATATATACCTACGCCCGTCCACCTGCGGTCCCAGCGAGACGCCCGCTCGCCCGTCCGTCGCGGCGGTCGCGCCCGTCCCCGCGTCGAGCCCCGCTAACGCACCGGCCGGTAAATGAGCAATAATCAAGGCGGCGGAGGCGGCGGCGGACGCCTCGACGCTGGCCGCCTCTGCGGTGTGGATGGAGCGGCGCGGCGCGTGTCTGACGCGTCTCGTGTCTAACAAGCGCGACCCCCTCTACGCCGCGACGCTCTCGATGACCCACCGATCCGCGCACAGCAGTCGCCAAAATCTCACCCAACAATATTTTCTCCACTAAAAAATTGTTCCAGCATATAATAGTGGGTCTACTATGTACATAGAACAATATACATAACATGTTTGTAAATGTTGTAGAACATTGTCACAAGTGGGGTAAATGAAAATTCTTTTATGAAGGTATAAGGTAAAAATAAATTGCTCACTTTATTATACTTAGTAAATTCTTGGGGTTCCTAGGATATACAAAATCTTGACTAATGGATTCTTCTTTGATGTAGGAGTGTGATCTTTCTTGTAGTGATAGATCTCTAAGAATCTTCATTAAAGTACGAAGTGAGTATCTACTGCAACTTATGAAGATAGTAGAGCATAAATGAAGTGCAAAAGTTGAAGATGAATAAATGGATTTCCAGTTATTCGGAGGCCCAACATTTTGGCGAGCGCTGCTCGCCTCGGATGGTGTGATGTGGCGGTGTCGGCACGCGACTAAAGCCGCCGCTCCCGCCCCGCCTCGCGCCGCGCCCGACCACCGCACGCGCCTACCCCTTCCCTACCGTCGACGACCGTTCAGCTCCCGCATGCCGCCCGCTTCGCTCCAACCGAACCGAGCCGCCTTTCCTTTCATTGCGACTTTGGCGACGCGTCCGGCCGGTCGACGTCGAGGGCGAGACGAATCGCGACGCACGGGTCGTCCAGTGATGACGGCGAAAAACAAGAAGCCATCGGAACCGAGACGAGCCAACAAGCCTTTGATGGAGAAGAGACGCCGCGCCAGGATCAACCAGAGCCTGGCGGCGCTGAAGACGCTGATCCTCGACAGCGCCAAGGCGGACAACACCAAGCACTCCAAGCTGGAGAAGGCGGATATCCTGGAGTTGACGGTGAGGCACTTCCAGAGGCACCGCAGCCTGGACGTGAAGGGAGTCAACCAGTACAAGGCCGGGTACGCGGACTGCGTGCGGGAGGTGCAGCGGTACTTGGAGACGCCGGACGCTCAGACGATGACCGTGATTGATTCCGGCGTGCGCCAGAGGCTGCTCAGGCATTTGGACAACTGCGTTGCTGAAGTCGACGTCGATCTGAAGCAGGTGAATTTACCTCCTCCTCTGGTTGAGGAGCGGTCCGATTCCAACCATTTGGTGGAGGTTAACAACAATCGATCGAATCGGCTTTTGGACCAACCGGATGGTGAGGATTCCACCAAATCGTCCAAGAACTACGACGGGAATTACGTCCTGTTATTACCTCAGCATTACGTGCAATTGGCCAGCGCTCTGGGTGTTAATCTCAGGTCGCAAAGTGATAGTGTGTCTAGTCCAAGTACGTCGGGTTGTGAAAATGTCGAAGCCCTCAAGAAGAACGAGGATCCTATAGACTTTAGCGGAAAGAACAACGAAAATGGTGATATGTGGCGACCGTGGTAAAAATAAACTACATCATAATGACACTGGAAATCTAGGATTTGTGCAATTTCACTGATCTTCATTATTGTGTAGTTGCGAATTGGTTTAAGTTTTGTTGTAATTTTGATTATCCGAAACTGTGATTTTATTTTAAGACTCCAATGTTAATCGAATAATTTGGTTTTAAATTATGAATTGTAAATTTTTGCTCATTTAATTTTGTATTCAGCTCAAATTTCGTTGACTTATACGTGAATTGCTCAAATTTTAAGAAACCTATATGTAAAAAAAATCATTTACAACAAAAGTACGGGAAAAACATTGTTCCCGTAACTCTTTCTTCTCCACTCTGTCGTTCGTGTGCAACCGCCTATAGAAATTTGCACCTAAAAGACGGTGTTTTTCCTGCAATTTGACGATCATTTTTTGCTTAGGTTTGGGATTCACTCGTACGCAAAACTGTACAGCAACACATTGTGATTGTAAAAAAAATTAGTCGACCTTTATTAGAAAATTTTTCATTCGGAACTTCCGTCGAAGTCGTTCCGGCAAAATCGATTTTATTCGGACGGATAAAATCGTTTCGCAATTTTGTACATAACGTTGTAAAAAATATTTGAGACTGCAGAATTCGATATGTTGTTTATTTGTAAGTTAATTTATGTTAGTTGTACAAAAATTAAATGGATTGAATATTTCTTGGGCGTTTTATTTGGTGCGTTAACAACACGCAATAGAAAAGCTATTGGGAAAATATAACCAAATGCTACTACTTTTCGTTTTTTTTAGTTAGGTAGGTATTGAAAAAATTCTCCAAACAAACAGGGTTAATTTTCAACACAAATTTTACTTTTTTGTATAATTTTTGGTGAATCTTTATAAGTTGTAATATTCCAATAGTGTTCAAGCTGCTAGCGTTTTAAAATAATGAATTTATTAATTATTACGAATTCTCCCCAGTTTCTTTATTTTGAATTCTAAATCACTATACAAAATCTCCTTAAAATATCAAATTTTCGAAGTGGGATAGATTAAGATATTATTTCAAGGGAATCCTAAATATTCAGTGAATTGGGGTCGGGATCCTCAAGGAGCCCTTTGGGCTCATTTATATCTGGGTGAGTTATTTCTGGAGCTTCCATCAATAATACTAGACTGATCAACATTTGAACAATTTCTCGATAAACCTAAAGTAAATAAATGAAAATTCAAATATGTATAGACCTTTGCAGGTACAAAAAAAACTTACTTAATTCGTAAAATAAAGAACTGCAGCAGATATTATTATAAATTTACAAAAAAGAAGATAAAAAATACATTAAAAATTATTAGTGTAAAAATAACTTTATTTTCAAGATTCATCTTACAATAATTAAAATACTTATAGCAAATTATATCACAATATAACCATAGGCGTGCACATTGGTAATTCCTTATGCTTTGTTGTAAAATACTGACCAATTTTAAAAGTATGTAATTCAAAAATTAGCTAACCCACTGTAAAACCATATCTTATACATTTTACCCTTATGTATCATTTTTAGCAAGGGTAGGATAAGGGTAAGGGTAGGTTATCACAAGCATATTAGTATTACAGTACAAAATTTACTCAGTTAGTTAATAACCTGTAGGTTATTAACTGAAGATGATATGTTGTAAGTCAAAAATGACTATAGTTCGTAATACTTGCAATATTACCCTTCCATATAATCTGGTGTTTAGGCTGGAATCGGCATTTTGCTTAGCCTCAAAAGGAAATCTAATAGGTGCATTTGTACTTTAATTTCTAAGGGATTCTTGGTTAAATAAAATCCGGGCACTCCGGCTTTCTCTAAAATCTCCTGCTGATCGGCCACTTTCTGATCTAATTGCAATACTAGGTTCATATCGAATGTTTTCAACTCTTCTTTTTGCTGCAGCATGAATTTCTGCAATTCTTGGATCTTCTTATTGGTGTCGTTTTCGTACAGTCGCAGAATTTCTTGTTCTTGAACTGAAATCGAGCAGGTAAATCGAGGGTAAATTAAATAGCTAAATATTACATACTTTTCTTCTGGTTAATAAATTGCAGTCTTTGTTGGTATAAATGCTGTTCTGTTACGTGTTGGATTTCTAACAGGCCTTTAACAATTTCGAAAACAGTCTCGTTGAGTAAGCAATTCGCTAAACTGGATAGTAATTCGTATGGCAAACGCATTTGGTATTTCCTGAAATAGAAATTTTAATGTTGATAGAAGAAGTATTTATACTGTTTTCTTACGGTGGTAAATCAAGTGCCATATTTTCTAGTTGCTCTAGCAAAAAATACAATTTTTTCTGTAAAGTAAGCGGATCTTCGCAATCTGTCATGTTTTATTTACAAATTTGAAATGCTCAATAACCGCATTGTACAAGACCAGACATGTGACTGTAAAATTGACAGACGGAAAAAAAATAAGAAGAATATTTTTTATTTCTCCAATATCTCAATGCAATTTATTATTTTGTTTAATCAATTTTCACAAATTTATTATTAACTTTCATGCTAATACATTACATAAAGCGGTGTTTTCATTTTTCTTCTAAACTATCGAGAGCAATTCACCTACTGTCACTCAATTTTCAGTAGTTCAATTGTCTACAATTTAGCCTTGTATTAAATAATATCCAAATGCGATGTTTATTTATTATAAACAAAGATAAAGTTAACATTTAGAGTTTAGATTTCAAGGTAGTTTACCCAATATGTAATATTACAGAATGAAGAAATCTTAGAATAGTCCAAAATATTTAGGAAAGCTTTAAAGAATCAAAATCTAGTGACCGAAATTTTGAATCAAACATTTTTAAATAAAAAAAAAGTATATTTTTAATAAGTTTTTAAATAACTAGTTCAGTGAAATGTGATTTTATCATTAGTCATAATGAATAATTTCCATGTATACATTGTAATGTATTACATTTCAAATCTTTGGTAAGTAATAGATAACAATTTTACATTATTTTACACATTGTTTTTCAGTTTACAAAGTATAAAAAGCGACAGTGATTGCGGAACCCTCAGAAAAATATTCGCAAACGCCTCAGCTCAGTTCACATCATGTACAATTGATAATTCTCGACCAATAACCGTTTGCGAGATCTGCAAGGATAATTATGTTGATATATTAGATAGCTATAAAAACATGTCCCAAGTAATATCCTAATGAAATTTAGCAATATATTTTTATTATATTTAATAACTTGTGTTGTAATTTTAGGCACTCGTTAACGGGACAACCTGTTTAGATAAGTTCATTAATCAAGATAGACTGCAAATCTTGCAAATAATTTACAATAATAATTTAGATATGTGGAGCAGAGCTAAATGTGATGGTATATTTTTTCACTACACGAACTTACATGAACTAACAGGTTTCTATTTCAGAATGTTACGATAGTAAAATTTATACTTACAATCAAAGTATATCGAATAGAACTGAACAATTTCACATGTACTATAATACTTTTATGAACTGTACAACACAACACGAGAATAAAGTGTGTACAGAGTGTATGAAAAATTACACCACGTTAGATACCTATTACAAAAGCATTAGCAACATAAACGAAAAAATCGGCGTTTGCATGGATATAGTGGATATTGTAAGTAATTGCAATAAACATTTCAATTTTTTTGGTAAATTTATTTTTCACAGATGAACACAACGTGGACGTTTTGGAGTAATAATTGTTGTAAATATCGAAAGCATAACGAATACATATTCATTGGAACAAGTGTAGGGTTACTTATATTGACTGTAGTATTCTATTTAGTAGTGCAATTTTGTAATGAAAAGAAGGCACCGACGATAATTCAACGTAAGTGAGATTGTTGTAAGGAATTTTACAATAAGAGTAAATTTACATTTTGTTTCAGAATCGAGGTTCTTCGAGTCCCTAAATATTTTCCGAGATTAAAGTTTTATCTTCTAAATCTACACACTAATACTTTTTACAAATCTATACATATTTTTACAATTCCTGCGACTCAATGAAATACATTTAATTTAAAAGTTTATTCATTTATTTACAATTCTAATTCGATTTTCAGTACATTTTTCGTCTTAAACAAATTAATTATCCTTAAATAATAAATGCAACTGTTTAGTTAGGTTTATCAATCATGGAAATTTTACAATTTTGCAGACAAATAATCAATTGCACCAAATTATAAAAGAATTGGGCGCAATAGATACACAAACAAAATGATAAGATTGTGATAAACATCTAGTGAAGTTTATAAGTGCAGTAACAGAATAAGTTGGAATTAATTATCAAATCCTACATATTTTATAAGAAGGTGCCTAATTGATCAGTATAGTGCATTATTACAAATGCCAATTCTTACAGTTTACACTATTTACTATTTCACTAAGCTTTTAAAAATTTATCGTTATTAAAATGAGGTAGATGGTAGACAACAAACATTCTGCCACAAAGAATTCCCAATAGTAAAAAGCTAATTAGACATAATAAAACTTCACCTACAATCACAAAACTCCACACAACTGATATCGTTGTAAAGAAGAATGAGTACGACCGATCGCTTTCTTAACACCCACACCTGGAAGTGTGTCTACTTTTTGGTTTGTTATCTGTGCCTAGCTTTCTTGTTGTTGTTCTTTTTAGCGTTAGGGGTGAAGTTTTTTTGCTTGGCCGAAGCGTCGGGGTGCGGACTGCCCCGGTCTAGTCCGTTGGGGGTCCCGTTGGACGTGGGGAAAGCGTTCGTGGATTGTTTGCCCGCCGTTTTGATACCGGAATCGATGTGATTCGTTACTAGGGGCATATTCGTGTCGCTAGAGTCCTCGTTTGTTAGCGATTCGGATTCGCTTTGCCTGTCCACTGTTGAAAAATGCAGGAAATTTATATTTGTAACAATAATTTCAGGGCCGTGTTCATTCCATGCAAACTAAACCACGCGTCAGTCGATAGGACATTTTCAGTAAATATTTGATTCACGATGACAGTGAAGCTTGAATCACGTATAGAGCTATTTAATCATATGTAAATGCATGCACGTGCTTCCAATATTTCTTAAATCATTCACAGCTGAAGCTTATTGTAATACAAAACATAATAACAGTTGTACTTAGCGTAAGCATGTTGCGGTATAATAAAATAGTTCAATTTCAACTTTTGGTTTAGGTGTGTGAGTGTAAAAACGAAAATAAACAATTGGATACGAATGTATTTAATATAAATGATATAAAAGTTGAATTAAAAACTACTTAATCAAAAATAAATTGATTTAAATAAAAAGTATAAAATAACTATTTAACTACCTACCAAAGAGCCTAACCTACGACAATTAATTACTACTATATGCATACGGATTGCTACTCTCTACATCATAAGAATTCTTACTTTTATCTGCATTTTGGTCAACTAATCCGCTGACAGCCTGAAAAATAAAACAAATGTTACATTTCCAGTTTGTTTCTCTCTATTATGAACTCTTTATAACGCATTTTAAACAATAAACTCACTGCCATGGATGTAATTGATGATTTCGAAAACAACCTTTCGGCTTCCTTGAATTTCCGATTTCTTTTATCAGCTTTAGAATTAGTCGTTTTATTTGTTGACAAATATCTGTCCCAACCTCTTATAATATTTCCATACAGCTGCGTATCTTCCAAATAGGAACCTTCGAAGGCGTAAATTTGTTTTTCTAAATTCGCTAATGTCTCCTAAAAAGTTAATATTTGAATTTCCCGCTTGATACTTTGGAATGTTACACATGTTCAATCACTTTTAGTGTGACAAAAAATCGGTAGAATCGAATTACTCAAATAGTGTAGCACATGAAGCTTTGAAAATATCGAATGCTTACCCCAATTTCAGCTTTTCTTTTTACTAATTCCGCTAGTTCTTGTCTAGCATCCATAGATGTTTTGTTTGACATTTTAAAATATTAGTGTCAACAACTGTCAAGTCAATGTCAATAGAATGTCATTTCTTCTTCTTCCTGATTGAAGGTAGAATCATACAAACTACTACACAATGAATGTCAACTGTAAAAGGATTTTTGCAAATAAATTTTAAAACCTTTGCATTTGTAACACCAATTCTTTAAGGGCTTAACTCAACGCTTCATAATACTTTTGAATAATTTCATAATACCAAATTGAACATGGTTGTACGTCCTTAGAACGCAACTAATTTATTGACATTTTAAGTAAAAAGTAGAAAAAAATAGGTTATGTTAAGTTCATTCCGATTGTTTAAATTGTTTTGCTTTTCTAATAAAAAAATTAATCGAAAAATTGTAATGTCGGTATTAGAAGACAAGGACTCCGCAGGAAAAAGCAGTTATCATCGTAAGAGAAAAAACTATGGTAATAACACCGATAACGATGAGTTCGATGAGCAGTTTAAGCGAGAGAGGCGTCCTGCGGGCCTCAGAGGCAAGCAGATCGGTTTATGGTACGCAAAACAAAACATGATGCGAAAAAAAGCCAATGGCGAATCGAGCAGCAGCAGAGACGCCAGAAGAGAGACCAAAAGGGAGAAGTATCGTTGTGAACCTATAGCCCAGATTCACCTTTCGAATGGCGAACAAACCAAAATAAAAAGCATGATAAAGTCGCTACCTACTCAGGGTTTCTTCGTTAACGACGGACAATCTTACTCTCACATAGAAGACTCTTATTTTAAGCGATCGTTCCTCTCGAACATAAAAGGGAGTATCATAGAAAAGCTTACCAAATCTTGCTCTGAAATTATCATAGATGAAATCCTAGACGACGAATTACTGAAAGACTTCCAAACAAAATCGCAAAACGACCAGTATAATAAGCTAAAAACAGTTCGAGAAAAACTTCCTTCTTTTGCAATGAAAGACGATTTAATAAAACTAATAGAAGACAACCAAGTTGTATTGATCAGCGGTGAGACCGGTTGTGGTAAAACCACACAAGTAGCACAGTTCATATTGGACGATTACATAAAGAAAGGCAAAGGTTCTTCTTGCCACATAATTTGCACCCAACCGAGGAGAATAAGCGCCATCTCGGTCGCCGAGAGAGTAGCCAAGGAAAGAGGCGAGCCCCTAGGACAAAGTGTCGGCTACCAGATTCGATTGGAACACAAATTACCCAGAGACAGGGGCTCTATTTGCTTCTGCACAACAGGCATCGTACTGAAAAAAATGGAAACTGACCCATCGCTGTCCCGAGTCTCCCATCTAATTCTTGATGAAATACACGAAAGAGCCGTACCCTCGGATTTTCTAATAACGCTTCTGAAACAAGTGATTAAAAAGAGGAAGGAGCTTAAGGTTGTCCTCATGAGCGCCACGTTAAATTCCGTTGAATTTTCTAAATATTACGACGACTGTCCTCACATTAACATTCCGGGTTTTACGTACCCCGTTAAAGAGTATTACTTGGAAGACGTGTTACAGCTAACTAAATTCAAGTATTCCCAGCCGCATTACAGAAGGAAATTCGGCAAAATGGAGAAAAACGAGGAGTTCGAGGGCTACATAAAACCCTACGTAAGGAACCTACCAGCAGGAAAATACGACAAAGATGTACTGGAACAATTACTGAACACGGAAAGCGAAGAATTAAACATGAAATTAGTCTTACAATTGGTCGAACACATCTGCCGTACTGAAAAAGATGACGGATCCATTTTAGTGTTTCTACCGGGCTACGCCAATATATCGGACCTTCACAAAGCTATCAATAGTCAATCATCATTTTTCAAAGGAAAATTACACAATTACATTGTAATTCCGCTACATTCCCAGATGCCTACCATCGACCAAAGGCAAATCTTCGAGCCCGCTCCGCCGGGCAAACGCAAAATCATTATATCAACTAACATAGCAGAAACATCTATCACTATTGACGATGTTACGTTCGTCATCGATTGCGGTAAAATGAAGAGAAACGATTTTAACACCGCGGATAATACTCAAACGTTGGATTCCTATTGGGTGACTCAAGCTAATGCGGATCAGAGGAAAGGTAGAGCCGGTAGAGTGAAGCCGGGCGTTTGCTACCATCTATTCACCAGATGCAGACTCGAGCTTTTGGAGAAGTTCGAAAGACCGGAAATCACCAGGATTCGACTGGAGCAGACCATTTTGCAAGCCAAGATCTTGCAGTTGGGGAAAATCGAGGAATTCTTTCCGAAATTAATGAATCCTCCTTCGGACGAAGCTTTAAAGCTCTCTTTAGATCTTCTTAAGCGACTAAATGCGCTCGATGAAGATGAGTATTTAACACCGCTAGGATATCACTTAGCTAAGTTACCTCTAGCACCGCAAATAGGCAAAATGCTCCTGTTCGGGGTGCTGTTCAGCTGCCTCAATCCTATCTTAAACGTCGTGGTTTCGCTAGATTTCAAGGACGCTTTTCAAATACCAATGGGGCGAGAAAAGGAGAGCGACTTTAAGAAAAGAGCCCTCGGTCGTGGGGCTTTCAGCGACCACATAGTTCTGATTAGAGCCTTGGATGAATATGAAACCTGCGATAACCCGCGGGGTTTTTGCAGGGAATACTTCTTGAGTTACTTCACGTTAAACTTACTGCTCAAAATGAAGAAGGACTTCATGAGGCACCTGTTGGAGTTGTCGTACGTTTCGGACTTGCACTCGAAAAGCTCCAGATACAACGTTAATTCCAGCAATACGAGCTTGGTGAAAGCTATCGTGTGTGCTGGATTATATCCGAATGTGGCGGTTGCAATGTGCAACAAACACGGTCGGTTAGTTCGTTTAACTTCGCCGGATCGAAGCAAGTATTACCAGTTCCACCTGAAGTCTGTCTTAGCATCGGAACATTTTCTACCATCGAAGCTGATCGTTTATTACCAAAAAGTCAAATCTACGAAAGACAGCATCTACGATGGGACGGTCACTCACCCTTTGCCTGTGATATTCTTCGGAGACCAGTTCTTGCATAACAAGGAGAAGGGAGTGGATTATATCACTATATGTAAATATTTAAAGTTCCAGACTGACGAGCCCACTGCGAATCTTATAAAAGACCTTAGGAATAGGATGAATTGGTTTTTGGAGTACAAAATTAATCATCCTGGTGAAGTGGATTGGGAGTCGAGTTCAAGTGGAAATGAAGGTCTGTGTATTTTAAGAGCGGTAATGGGATTGATTTCGAATGAAGACAATGGTGGAATTCCTACGGTTTCCATTGATGATGAATCAGATAGTGAAAGTTCGTAAACTTTTTGTCAATTAAAAGAATTGTGTTATTGAACAAAATGCAATTAGTTGTGTTCAAGGATATTTATTATTATTTTGAATTTAATTGCTTACTATTTCGAAATTGAGGATTTTACTTTTTACGATTTGAATTTTGAATTATTTTGTAAAACAAGAAAAGGAGAATAAAATTGACATTTGACATATATCAAATGTGTCAAATCAAACTTATTATTTTGAGGTTATGTTAAATTGAAACAAAAATCAACAATTAAAAATGATTGAAAATAAAAACACTTTACTGCGAGTGACGCAAATGAATGCGATTTACCTGGACAAAGAAATTTACAATTCGTTGTATCAAATATTCCTCGATTCTATTAAAAACTTTAACGTAAGTATCCAGTGGTGTGAAGTACTTTCAATCAAGTCCCAATTACTAACAAAACGTTGCTTTTCAGCCAGGACTTACTGGTTTTTACGAATCGGAAATTAATTTAATTCTACGCCTGTTAATTTTAAATAATTCAATACTGAAAAATGGAAGTACGTTTGGCCAGCAATTGCTATCCATTAAATACAAGGATATTTCTACCACGAACCGAGTGTTATACATAATGGGATCGTGCTTGGATTATGTGAAAAGACGATTTGAACTGTGGAATCCCTCACATGAATTCAATAATACGATATTCAAGGCGTATTTATTAGCTAATTTACTGGACTTTATAAATGTATCATCGTTTCTAAAGAATGGTACCAAACCTTTACTCATCGAGAGGGTATTGGGCTTAGATCAAGTTTATGCAGTAGAAAATGCCCAGAGACAATTTGAATCTAAGTACCTAGCTAGGGAATTACTATGGAATGGTTTTATAGTAAGTAGCTCTTTTGACCCGCCTCACGTGCATTGCGAATGAACTATAATAATGGTTGTTACAGGAAATATTTGTGTATTTACTTCCGCTTATAAATTACCACAAAATGAAGAGGATTATAAAAAATATGAACCCTCTTCTAAAGAAAAATGTTTACAGCGTTGTGCCCAAAAGAAACATGACGATGCACACGAAATGCGCTTTTTGCGGAGAAAATCCAATTCTGCCTCATCACATGGGATGTTCACACATATTTTGTTATGTATGTCTAAAGGTATGAATACATTACATATTACTTTAATGTAAGTTTTAAGTATACAATTTTTGATTTTTGTTGATTTTTTTAGGGAAACCAAGTGGCAGATTTAAAATTTGAATGTCCAATTTGTGAACATACTAATTTAAATGTAGTCTGTGATAGAGTAACTAAGTTAAAGTTGTGATAGTGATTTTTTTGAGTATAATTTACTACATTGTTGATTAATTGTAAGATTTATAAAGGATGGTTGTTGTACATTTTTTTTATTTTGCATCAAATTCATAAACCATTTCATTTTAAAGTACATAGGAAAAAATGATATTTGGCAGATTCAGAGACCTCAAAAACATTTGTTTCCATCATAAATCACAATATCTTGAATATTTTTAGCCCAATTAATACAATTTTTAATCCTGTTTGAATGTTTTTTTAAGTTTATTAAAAATTAGAATAACACGTAGCATAAACATTTCTACTCATCATCGTATAATATGTAAAACATTTTAATGATCTGCTGCTTTATAATACAGGAAAATCTAACTCTAAAATATAATATGTATATATAAAACAAGTTTTTATAAAAGTACTCTATATTTAATGCTAAACAAGTTGACTAATCTTTTTTTTAATAACAATACATTTGCACAATTTTTAAGCCATAAATTATATTTTTTTTTGTTTTAGACGTTACTTTAAAAGTACTTTTTGATTGTCAAAATGTCTACAAAACAATGTTATTTAATATCTTATGCAAATTTTGAGTAAGGTGTAAATGTTATCTAGCAAGTTGTAGACAATTTAAGTTCATTTTACCGCAAAAAGACGCTTATTTTCATAATTTCATTTTCAAGGAGAATAACGTTTACGTATAATAAATAAAACAAGAATACTGAACATGAATAACAATAACTCCTTCAGACATAAATTCCCATAAAGTGCAATTAAATTAAATTTGAATTCTCCCAATCGCTAACATTCATTTAACGCCGACGGCACACTATCCTTAGTTTTCGACATAGTACTAGCTCCTAACAGAAGTGGACAATACTTATCACCTTTCTGAATAGCGTTAATTGTCTTCATTAAGTCGTAGTTGATTTTTTCAGATACTACGGAATCATTCCTGTAAAAGAACAATTTTTGTAATCAGAACGAAAATTATGCATGCAATATGGTACCTATAATCCGGATGTTCGGTAACGTATTTCCTAATCCACGATGCCGTCGTAAGTATCTCGCCCGATGCTCTCCTTTGTATGAATTTCAAGTACTGTTGAATCGTACAATGCGTATCAGCATCCACGTCCATGCCGCTTAGGTAATTGTTAATCAGCGAAATAAGGCCGGGAAATTCACCTGGCTACAATAAAATACATGTTCACAATCGAGAATATTTCCTCGCTAAATTTGCTTTGTTTCCGGAGACTTACTTTCCCGTTAATAATCTCGTTTACGGTCATCTGCCCGAACATATCACATTCCTTAATGTCCCAGTTGGTGGTGCCGGCCCTGCAACACTCCGCCGCCGCCGGTGGGCTCACGTGGGTCGTTATGTCCCGTCTGAACCAAAACTTCTCCTCGCGAGCGGCGTTCCTCTTCTGAGCTTTCTGCATGTTTTCGTCTACCTGGAGCACGAAAAATTGATTGGTTTCGTAAACGTAAAAGGCCAAATTTTTATTTTCAATATAGCACAAAATTTGTTCTTACCTTGCTAATGGGAATTAGGAAGTTTAATTGGTACGAAAGTATCACTCGGGTTAAAAGTACTACGAAACAAACGATGGCAGCGTTTTCGAAATCTGTAATTTGAGCTTCGCAAGGCCTAAATTCCACTCTCCATCCTATAGTCGAGTGCGGGGGCGGCGGTTTGAATCTCATTGTTTGCCAATTGGTAGATTGGATGTTCTAAAATAAACCGGTTTATACAGGGTGTTTTAAAAAAGGTGTATCGATAAGCTTATTATTGCTACATATACAGGCAAGTGCAATATGGTCTATTGGGGCAACAAAGACAACTTCCATTAGTCTTATACACTGTGCTTTATTCCAGATCGCAACATAGGCTGTAGGCTATAGGTGCGATAAAGACAACTTCCATTAGACATTTATAAAGGATAAAGAAAGAGTGACATTTGTGTCATTGCAAATTTTCACTCTGACAACTGTTATTTTATTAATCTTTCTTTGTTCAACTCATAGAAATGACCATATTACTAACTTAATTTTGCACACATTTTGAACACATTTGCACTTACCCATATAGTTGGTTTTTATAGTGATTTTTTTCTTCAAAATTTATTCAAGGATTTTTAAAGGTCAATCTTAACGAATGTATGATCGTTAGATCGATTAACGACTTTTTAACGGTTTGATCAAGTTTTTCAAAGAATTTTTTATGGCTTATTTTAATGGTGTATTCGAAATTTGAATTGTTAAAATAGAGCCATTGAGAATATATAAACACTTCAAGCTGTATAAAAAAAATCCAATATCTAGTTACAAAGGGTTAAAAACTCCTTATAAAATGGTTAAAAAACATTTATAGAGTCTGAAAATGTATCCAAAATCGTGAAAATCTCCAAAAATAATCTCCTCACCTCAAAATGGTCCGAATCCTCCTCATCGTTCTGATGGACCTTCTCCGAAAACAGCGACACCGTATCCCTAATGAACAAATGCGCTATGTGCCCGGCCAATAAATGATCGATCCCGTTATCGACCAGCTTCTTGTAATCCTCCTCGTTATACAACAGCGGAATGTCATTGTACTTCTCCCCTTGCGGCGACAGGTACGAATCGATCGAATCGTACCGCGACTTGTTTATCACGAATTTGTTCTCGTTCAAAGGCTTCAGGCCCCTTTCTTCCTCTGTCCGGCAATCCACCGAATGCGATATCACGTTCCAACGGCAGTCCACGTCCGTCACGAAGCCCCTGTACAACGGGGACGCGGCTGTAAATGCAAGCTGCAAGTTAAGAAAAATTTATTGTACACAAATCGCTTTGCAATCGTGCTAATATATCGTAAGATGCATTCAAATCGAGTATCATTCCAAATGTATAGCCTTGGTAACTGTAAATTATCGAGATTAGGAAATATATCTCGATAGACAATCATAATTCCCATCCTTAAGTACGAAATTATCTCGTACATTTTTTTAAATACAATACAAATACAAACACATTATGTTCGATTTATAATTGATATAACGAGGCAATTAGTATTTTGCGTTTAATGCCACACAAAAAGCGGTCAATGAGGTGGTCTGTAAATAATAAACGATAACTTTTATACGGTATATAATTAACCTACATGGTTAATTAATTATAATGTTCGTGTTTTGGAAACATTGGACTTACCATAATTGGACAGAGGGGCGTTAATTGGTCGTAGAGGGTTCGCGCTTCGGTAATGTTGCAAGCTTGAAATGTTAATTGCAGGCAACAGCATCCCATGCCGAAGCCCATGGCGTCCATGTAGACGTGGTCTTTTAAGGCCGCTTTGCTGTGCTTGTAGGAATCGTCAACGGGTATTTTCGTATTCTTGTCCCTGAACACTTGAAAATAAAGAAATCGTGATTATTAGATATTCACGGCATTTCATTCACGTAAATATTTTTCTGGATTTACGCAGAATGCGATTGATAAAACGCTCCAAGTGCCACTTAAATTTCAATAATCTTGTGGAGAGAAAAAAACCCATCGATGATTCGTTGGGATTGTCGATTTTACGACCTTGTACTAAACAATGATCTCGGATTGAAAAATTACATCAATATTCTAAATAATTAGGAATAGCTGATATTACGTAATTACATTTTGTTATCAAACGAACAACGCAATATCAATATCAATCAAACGTGCATATTTCAAAATAAATTTAATGACTTGTCAAGACATGCGTTCCTTCTAATATGTGATTAAATGTGACATAAACTCGACTATCTTGTACGACAAATTTTCATCAATTTCTGTCATGTTTGTGAATGTCCCTTTGCTCCTCTCGTATGTCTGGGGGTACAAGGTCTAGTTTATTTTTAAAAAGTATTACAAACCAACTAAAAACGCATTATAATTGTCTAACCTACTTTCAGCAATATATTTTTTTGTTTCACAAACATAATTCATATTTTCCTGAAAGTTGATAGCTTTTATCTACACCAGTTTAGATATTGTGGTGTTAATTATTTACTGCAAAAACGAACAAAATATAATTACAACTCAATCATGTTCATTCACTTAGACATTGCATAAATTCGAGCAATTAACACAATCATTATTAATTTCATATCGCGAGAAAACAATTAAATTTTAATTCAATATAAACAATATAATTATTCAATAAAACAACGATATTTTCTTGCGAACAAAGAAAAGAAACGTTCCTTTATGCACCCTTCTTCGCTTCCACATGGATCCACGCTTATAAATAAACGCCTATAATGATAAGCAACATCATCCAGCAGATACTATTTAACGTAAAATTTAAAGTCATCGATTACAACAAATGCTCGTAACGTTTCAAGGCTTCAATATTTATTTTTATCTTTCGGGAGTGTTCTGTGCAAACATTATTAATTTTACGAGTACACAAAGGATTCCGTTTTTTTACGAAGCTAATAATTTCACGTACCGGGCAAATTGATGGCGACTTTTTCACCGCGCCTCATCCGGATATTCCTCGACAGCGTCTTGAATCTCGGGTGACCGTTGTAAATCGCTTCGTCCGGGAAAAATAGAGATCTCGTAGCTCCTTGATCGGGCGTCGGCTTTGTGGGAGGATAGGTGAAGTCTTCGCTACCTAATCTGGTAGAAATTTAGAAAATGTTGAGAAAATACGGGCAAAAGAGCGCAGCGTATTGATTGAAAGCTGTTAGTGTAAAAGTAAAGGGGTAAAATCGATTGAATAATCAACAGAAAAAGTATTGGAATGAATAATTTATTGGTTCATCAATCCGCTGCTTTGGTCGAGTTTATAATAAAAAAATACGTTTTGTAGAAAAGCACTAATCATATCGAATTTAAGGTATTGTAAAAGCGACACGATTACAGGGACATGTTTAATCTGCATGAATATTTTCGTGCGTCCAAAACATGATAAGGGGAATACCACAATGTTTTAACGAACTGGTATAGAGTTAATTGGAATTTCCTAAACCTATCTAAGAATTGTTTGTTAAAAAATAGTGTCAGTTGAGCGATGATTTTAGCCAGTCATTTTGGACTCATACCATGATAAAGTTTTAATAAACTCGCGTGGTATTGTATGATTTAGAGTTTTTAAATCAAAGTATATGAGTCACTTTTTATCAAAGGCAATTTTATTTTGCGAAAGATTTAATTAGTTCTAAATATTTTATCACATTGTTCATTTATCATCGCTTGAAATAAGTGTATGCTAAAGAGATTAAAACCCAAGAAGGAAATTACATTTTTGAATAATTACAAAATGATGCCTTCTGTAAATTCTATTTTTTATATCCAACACTTTAGTGCAAATTTAATTCAAACAAATGAAATCTTGCACATATTCAAATACAATTTATCCAAACCATCAAAAAATCATCTAAAATCATGAAAAAATTGATTCAAAATAATGAACAAAAACAGCCAAAATCATAAACAAAATCTCGTAATTTTTCCAAATATTTTATTGATTTTTATTGTGCGCCACTATTGAAAGCTAATTGAGTACAGCAGTCTACTATTATAAAAATTCCATAAATTATTCATATTTATTAATGAATAATTCAGTGTAATTGCGATCGATAAATCATTTTTTCCGAAATTATTTATTAAATGGAAGGCCAGGAAAAATGAATCAATTTAATTAGGTATTAAAACGTATGTACGACAAGAAAAAGAAACGAATGTCATGCAATATTTTATTTTTTAACGAACGATGTAACCTGTTGATTATTATTTAATTTTATGAAGGAAATAAAAAATGCAAGCACCAGCAAGAATAGTAATAAAATAGCAACAACAATAGTATTATGCAATATGCAATGTTAGTGTACTGAATTATTATTGTGGAAATTGTAATTTGTTCAGATGTAATTTATGAAAACTATTTAAGTGATAAGGATAGTTAATTTACATTTTATAGTAAATTCTCTCAAATAATTTAATTCAATATTTATATTGGAATATACATTATTTAACATGTATAATTAATCGGTTTCATTAATTATGTAAATATGAATAAACGGACCCATAAATTATATAAAGACATTTATACAAATTAAAATTTATATTGCTATTATTAGTAATGTATAATATTAACACTTTTGATTAAATTAATAGAGACTTACTCAATTCAATGTTCATTGGCATAATTTAATTAGTTGAGTAGTCATTTTATTAATAATAAAGTTATTAATTTATGAGATTTGCACTGCTTATATTTATATTATTTTAAAACGATTTTCAAGGGAATAAAAGAAGTATTTTGATAAATATAGGGTCGGGCAATTTTAAAGGGTGTATTAAACAATTTGTTTACACATTGTCTCATGCATATATCAGTTCAATGCATTTTTTATTGTACATTGTTTGTAATCTAATTGTATCGTGACATGTTAATCAATAGCTATTCTTTAATTGAATTTTATCTGAATATTCGAAGAACTTAACACTCAAAATACGAGGCCGGTTGTATTTGAACAATGTAAGGTAAACTTCTCAATTCCTATTTCTATTTAATACATAAAATTTTGAGACTTTTTTCTATATTAATATAAAAATTTACTAACCTTGGGAAACTTGTGATGCTTAAGATAGCCTCATCGGAGTTCAGCAATTCGGTGACTTCTTTTCGCCTGTTTCTCATGTTGGCCTCGACTATGTTGAAATGCGCCAACAGCCCCCCGTACGGCTTCCCCGGGGTGCCTTCGATCATGTAAGAACCGTACTCGGGCCTCCACAGCGAGTTCACGCCCGTGGGATCTTCGAGCTCCTTTTGGTTGAGAATTGTGAGCAATTCGTGGCTGCGAAGGCTTACTTTGCATTGCTGTTTGTCGTCCAGGAACTTCACGATTATGTACTCAACTTCGTCGCCCCATTTGAGAATGTCGCCCTCTCGGTCCCGGAGCTTCTTGTAGAGGTTTATGAATTGCGTGATGCCGTGTTCTCGTACGTGTTGCGCGTTTTTCTTCGTTTCCTCCCATGACAGGGGACTGCCTTCGGTTAGTAGCCCCATTTTTCATTCACCACTTTATCGGAGCGCGGCTACTCGAGCGGCTATCGGCGGCTGGCAGTGAAGCGGAATGTGCTATGTAATGGTAAAAACCGTGTGTTTTAATCGAGATCCACTATCTAAGGTTGATATTGCGCAATATCATATCACCAGTGATTGAACTAATAAATGTTTTCAGTGTATACACAGAAAATATACAATTATTTCGAAGGTCACTGTAAAAATCGTCTGGGAAAACGGTTATTAATACTACCGGTGTACTTGCTCGAATGACTGTTGTTCCTTAATAATACGTTCTTTATTTATATCAATCACACATGTAGGTAATTCAAAAAAATTGTTACCATAACCTGATTGGCAAGAAATAGGCATGGACAGGGCAAATGTCAAAATCTTGTCAAAATTAAGCGATGTTGCCAATGAAAAACAAATTTACAATTTCGACATTTCACAATATGTTAAACTAACACTCTCATTATATTAAATTAAAACATAACAAATTAATTGAATAAATTACTGTTATGCAATTTTCAAATTCCTTATATTAATAAATAATGAATATTTGTTTTATTGTTTAATAAAATTTGGAAAGATATTTGGGATTTCAAGGAATTCTAAGCCAATCTGGCACCTGTAAAATAATCCATAATCTGCTAGTGACTACGATCACGATAACGGGTTTTTAAAACATTGTAAATTGTGCTATAACGAATTGAACAAGGTTGTTAGAAATTTTTATACAGTTTATTAGTTATACGCAATAATACCTATTAAAATTATAGGCCACAAACTAATTAAATTAATTTATAAATTCTTCAAGCACATAGGCAACCCAGTTTGCGCTTGTCATTTTTTACTTAATGATTAGCTGATTACTCATACCTTGACATATCAGGAGAGCAGAATGAAGGTAAGGGTGAAATTTAGGGTGAAAATTATTATTCAATATTTGATTTTCGTTTGAAAGATAAAAATGAAAATGCTCAAAAGGTTACAAAATAAAAAAAATATATATTAATTGTATAATCTATCTAAAAAATTAATTGATCCTCTTAATAAAAATGAGTAAAATTAACCCCGTTTGCTCTTTAAATTTTACTCTGCAAAAAAATCTAAATTATTGATTAACTTTTCAATCTCATGGAAGTGTGTAAGTATTTCGGGAAAATATAGTTGTAAAAATTGTAATAATTTCAATTTAGTAACTCATTGGCTCATAGTCATTTTCTAATAGTCACCAAATAATAAAACAAATAATTTAACATCAGTTTCATCTAAATAAATTAAAAATAGATCTCATTTGAAGTATTTCACATCTGCCCAGTTTCTAGCAATACCATTTTCTTAATTAGGTAATTGCATAAGCCACTCAACTGCAAACAAACTCATAATACCGGAATCATTGGTATCAACAGCGCAAAAAACTTGTTTATAAACAATTTAAATATTTACATATTTATATGCACCCAAAAAGAGTTTTACTCCTACAGGGTGCTTTCATACCACGTTACATTTTTATTTTTTTTCTATTTTTCACAATAAAATACGTCCTAAAATTAGCACATTAAACTGCAAGGGAATTATAATTATTGTTGAAAGTTTTAAAAACATGAAATAAGGGCTCAGTGAATTTAACTGCGTTGATTAAAATTTTATTGTCATTAAGTATAAAAAATAGTGGAAAAGGTAAGTAGAATCTTCTTTATATCAATATGCACTAATTTCCATCAAGGAAATATTTTCTGGTGTATTACTCTCAATCTGCTTCACCCTGTAGTCTCCTTTCTCCGAAACGAAATCGTAAGTATTTCGCCTATTCACCTCAATTTGATTTTCCTTATTAAATTTATGGACACGTCGAGTGTGATTGTTTTTGCATTACATGATTCTAGACTAGTTTTGTAATAGGCGCGTATAAAAGAACTAATTTTATTAATTGTCGCTTTAGTTTGCTGCAGAGATGACCAACAAAGCCGTCTTGGTAAGTGCACGAGCTCCAATGGAGCAGAAAATAATAGGTGTGCAAGTTGATTTTTCGTTATCAATCGGAGCGTGATCGTGAAGTTTAAGTGCAAATCAATTACTCACTAATTATTAGCAGAAAAATTCAGAAACATGCAGTTTAAGATTGTGGCGTTATTATCAATTTGTAACGCTATATGAATAGCTACATTTTATTGTTTTATTAGTATAGTGAAAATAGATATTTTTAACAACTACGATGATTATGATTAACAACGATTAAGATATAATGATTTTGTGATTTCATAATAATTGTAATGACTTGCAAGTTGAGCGTGTTTTTAGAAGGATCATCGTCGTTACTGCGTCCTTATACGTTCAATTCACTAATTGATTAATTGCAAATACAAATTTATTTAATGAATTATTCAACAGCTCGTTGAACAGCTAATAAATTAACAAATATACTTTACGTAATAAAATTGGTGAAATGAGCCGGATAAAAATATCCCAAATATGACCGTCAAAACGATAAAAATACAGCGTCAGTGCGAAAATAAATCAAGCAATTAATTTTTATCGAAATAGACCATTTGGACATCTACAAATAGAATTTTTGTGGTTATAAAAAGTAGATAAATTAATATTTTTTAACGTTATTCTAGATGCTTTATTCATGATTTAATTTCTATTTATATTTTTTTAGTAGTCAATTCATACCGTTTCCTCTACATGCATTATTTTCAGGTATTTTTATCGCTAGCGTGCAGTTTGGCGCAACTGTCCACCAGCCGCGCCGAATGCCAGAATTCCTTAGGAAACTACTACCACCCGGATTACTACTTCATTCCGGTGCCTAAATTCAACTACGATCGACCGAAGGAAATTAGGAAACCGTTGCATTACAACTACCAGCCGGTCATGTACGACGCTATTCACACCAGCATCGAAGAATCGCTGAAAGATTTGAAGCTAGAAGAGAAACCTCTATTGCAAGAGGAGAAAAAAGAGCCCGAAACGAAGAAAGGCGAGATTAAATACGTAATGGAAATGGAGAAGCCGGAGGATTTGTCGTTGAAAGATTTCTTGACGAGCGATTTCGAGAAATTTAAGCAAGAAATTACCGGTAAGAAAGTAGAAGAAACGGAAGAAAAGCCGGAGATAGCATTAGAGAAGAAAATCTTGGAATTACCTGAAATCGAGCAAAAAATAAGCAAAGGGAATGAGAAAGATGAAGAAGAGGATTCAGGAGAAGGTTATTATATAATTATTTATATTTAGTTTTGGTTTCTACGACCATCATCAGATCTAAATCTAAATGAGGAACATATACTCGAAATTAATATTTATTGTTACCACTTTGTCTAGAAAATTATTCTTATTTTAGGCGAGAATGATGAACAAAATCACCACCACCACCACGATAAAAATGCGCATTACAAGTTCGAGTACGCGGTGAACGATAAGAAGACGAAAGACATCAAGCACCAGAAGGAGGAGCTGCGCGGCGACAAAATCGAAGGTGAATATTCGCTGGTTGAGGACGATGGAAACGTTAGAACCGTGAAATACACGGCCGATTGGAAGAACGGCTTCCGAGCCCAAGTGCTCAATTCCAAAAGGAACAGTTACTAGTCTAAGTAACGTAGGTACCGTTGGAATTTAAGCTAATAGTGAAAGGAATTAAATTGTAATTAATTAACGCAACCGACTGAATATGTATCTCTATATTACTGTTATGATTAAAATAATGAAAAATATGGAAGCTGTTTTTTTGTATAATTAATTACAGGGTGTGTGTCTTGGAAAAGAGGTTTCAAAGTGGGTGAATTAATTTACTCCCTACCTTTTCGTTACTTGAGCTCTAGTTTGCATCCTTCGTGGTCTTTTTGCTTTTATTATCAATGTGCACCTACCTGATTCTTTTAAAAGAAGTGTTGAAATGAAAAGAGAAACGCAGGTATTTTTTAAATGTATAATTGAAATTTTCCATTTCGTAAGTCCATACATACGCACACTTATGTTGATTTTACATACATACAGACATACAGGAATTTCTTATTTCTAGAAACTTTCGAACTTAGAGAAATTATAAAAAAACACGGAAACGCTGCATGGCTCACCGTTCCATATTTGATTTTTCTTAATGTAAAATCGTTTGCTATTTGTATCGTTATTGGATTGGCACAATTCCTTGAAATTTGGTCAGCTATACAGTATTTCATTACATAACAGATAGATTTTATTCCAATTAATACAAGAATTGCCAAAATTGCATTGCTCGGAAAATCTAAACTAAACAAAGTTTTACTAGTAATACTTAAAGAAATTAATTGGTGAACCGTATTTTGTTACAATTCGCCGTACTATTCGTTGAAATAAATTCCATCCTGTACAACGCCTTTAAGTTTTATACGAAAATTTGCACTATATCGTGAAAAACTCGAATTAAGACTCTTATACCTAAGTTTTTAATAATATAACTAAGTTATATAAACAAAAATATACAAAATGAAATGTACACAAACGTCTTTCGAAAACTATGCACCTTGTAAATCATTAAAAATTAGATTGATTTCATTTAAATCAACAGTTATTTTATAGTGAATTGCCTACTTAAGTGCTTATAAAGATTTAAAATAGTCAAAATTAAATAAAATATTTGTAAACAGGTAGATTTTCTTTCGAGAATAAGGCGGGTCGTATCAAATTATTGTAACAAATATCAGAGTTAAAACTGAAATTTCAAGGTTTTAATTATGAACTCGGTTAAAGAACTCTGATGATATAACCCACTCTACAATTTATTGTTCCAAAAGAAAAATAACTCGATACATGCAATCGAAAAACACGCTGTGTATTAGCAAGAATACTTAAGTTACTACAGGAATCCCCGAAGTGCAAAAATTGTATAATAAAATTTCACAAAAAATGATCCACATCTTTCAATTAGTACACCAATTATTTTAAATAATTTATAAAAAAGTTATTGCAATGAAACAATAATGGATTATAGAGCTTTAAAAAAACTAAAATACAGCATTTTGCACAAAATTCGGGGACTCGCTGTACATTTTGAACAACTAGGATATATTGAGCAACCTGGCCTTATTAAATAGAATTACGCCAAGTTAAAAATAAATCGTGTCGGATTTTTAAAACTGAATTGTGCGATGTAATATCCTTTGCTTTTTTTTGTCGAGAGAAAATTTTGACATTTTATTCGGATATTCATTTTGTTGTAAAATACCTAGGTGAATGGATAAAATATGTTAATCAAATAAATACGCATTTTCAAAATTTAAAAAAGATATTTGTTGTTTTATGTGGGCGAAATTTGAGCAAATTTAACGACCGCATTCCCAATTAACAAGATTCAAAAACACGAATTTGCCCAAAAACATGAACATTTTCATTACATCGATATTAATGTACGTTACAATTTTGTGGTGCACTAAATTTTTACGAATAATAAGCTAAAGTTTTTGTTCCACTACGAATATGAAGCACAATTTCGTGAGAATTAACATATTTTACCAATATCAATTACAGTTTCTATGACATAGTTATTTATATTAAACTATGATGTATCTTTTTAATACATTATCTATTTCTTTAAAACTACATACGGATCAACTATTACTAAATTTTATATATTCAATAATAATGATGACAATAACGTCTACAAGAGAAATAAATCCGTGACAACTAAAATCGATTTTCTAAATATTTCACCAAATTTTTATGAGCTATAAAAAGCTCAGAAATAAAAATGAGACTAGCAAATAAAATTTGATATAATAAATTGGGCAAGAAGATCAATTTTAAGCAAGTGCTATTTTATTCCTCCTGTAGAAATTTCTTTATCTACTTGATTGCATCAATTACAATAGGGTTTTTGTAAAAGTCAAACCATTTTGAATGGTAAATAAATTATTTGCAAATATCAACAAATCGTTATTTGTATTAGGAATATGCAGTTGAGATATAAAATAAAAATATTTTTTCGCTTCAAGAGAAGAATAAATGAGTGATATGATAACGATTCATAAAAATTATAGTAATTGAAGTTTTGTGTTATAGTAATAATAGCGCATTATCTAATTCAATTGAATTCTCCAAGTAAACAATCAATTTTAAAGTTTCTGATAAAACATTTAATGTAACAAACTGATTCCCCTTGAAGCATCGTCTTTAATAAACTTTTTATCACTTTTTAACAAAATTGTTCCTAAGTACGCAATAAAAATTATCCTACAGTTTTTTGCATATATCTAAATGCCCTGTATTTTACTGTGTTTACTCTTGGTTCAACAACTCGAGTTGAAAACTGTTATTTCTAGGAGACAAAAAATTTTTGTTTCAAACCCTTACAATTACATATAAAAATCGACGTTTAGTTGCAAAGGTGGATCCTACGCAATGCTTCTTTCGCATTTAACTCTCGCTCTTGACACACAAAGTGCACTTAAGGGAATATACTCGTATATGTAGAACATCTTCTTGTATTTTTTTTTAATTTGAATTTCGTTATTAGAAAAAATTCATGCCTATATTTAATTAAGCGGATTCTTTATAAAGCACTTTATGAACGTGTTTGTTTGGAAACTATAACTCCGTCTCTCCTACCTGTGCAACTAAGGTTGTTATGGGAAACAAAGGCTAAGAATGTTCGGTCAAATTTCAGTCGGTAGAGTCACAAATATTTAACAATTAGTTAACCGTGTACATATTTAACAATTCGTTTTTTTCTTACTTTTAACAGTCCACGTTTCGGTTTAAGCATTAGGGATTTTTTACAGATACACATATTGGGAGTTTCGGGTACCAAACTAACGAACCGCCTAAAATAAAATATATAGGCAAAATACAGTAAATAGATTATTAACGATTACGCTACCAGATAATTTTTGAATTAACGTATTAAATTCCATGCATTGGTTAATTTCTACCGTTCAACATTAAGAGTTCTCGCAACACCACCAATTAAAGTTTCCTTCAAAATGCAGTAAAATCATCAACTACATACGTATTATTAAATATTTCACACCATCCACACATAGTGAATCAATAAAATAAACTAATAGTAAGAGTAGAAGAGCCAAACAAATCGTTAGCAAAAGCACCCTCAATCCCAATACTGCCTTTGCAGCACCTGACCCTTCATACACCGTGCGCCCCTCGACAAAGTCCGATTGGTTTTTTTGCTGCGACAGACAAAATCAAAAAAATCAAAACAGGCCTTTAGCGAACGTTAGCCTTTATTGCTGGTTGTACGCGTTGTGTATCTCCAAATTAGCGCTCGTTTCTATCAATGACTTACGCGATGCACTTAGAGTCGTCATATTGTGATCTCTGGCCTTGCGCGGGAGAGTGGTAGAGGTCGCCTCTATACTACTGTCTCTTGGCTTCCACACGGGCGACCCTACAAAACAAACTGGATCAATTCTAGCGGTTAGAGAGGCAAATGTGGTACTTTGCTTTTTCTGGAGAAATTTTGACTGCAGAGCTACGTTTTAGATGCAATTTGAATAATGGAAAATGAAGGTATGTTTATTCGGAGCGTGGATCTAGTGAAGTTTAAGTACCCTTGCAAATGAATGATGAGTACTACTCTATTTAATGATGATGGTTTAACCACTAGGAAAGAGCACTGTTATTTGCACCACGTACGCACAGGCTGATACATCATCACTTAAAGATGCTCTTCCAGCTCTTCTTTGAATGTCTCATCATTCCTTAGTGACACTTTATTTTATCTTGACTTTCTTCTACTTATTCTTCCATCATTTAGTTCCCTCGACAGGTCTTCGGCCTTTATATTAATCTCATTTAAGTCATCGATTTTAGAACAAATTTACTAGTGAAATGCATGAAATAGATGTTAAAGAGTATAGTTAAGTTTAGTAGATTTTTGTGTACTCATACGAGCAAGGGATACAGCACTAATGAATGAATTCCAATTTGCAAGAAAACAAATATGCACAACCCAACCTTCAATAATCAAATTGGTTTCAAAGCAAAGTACCTACATCTGATTAAGGGTCAAATAAAATAGGGTCGTTCGAAGTCCAATAGACATTAAGCTCTACTATACCGACCACCTTCTTTCGTTTTGAACAAATTACAAATGTCGCTTCCACGAGGATTTTCCGGCCGTCGGTTTTGTAAAATGGGAAGTCCAGAAAGTGGTCGCGAATTCTACTGCAAAGCAGGGTCGCTACGGAAATTAACGCATAACAAAACGATACGAAACAAAAATATCGGGGGCTATCTAATCGCGAACATCGTCTAACACTTAATCTCTTCGCTACTGTCACTTTTGAATCGCGTCAAAACGAAACTGTCGCTCCGCCGGGGAGCGCCGCCGCAGTGCGTATGCTATCCGGGCTTCTCCGATTTCCCGGACAGATAGCACTCGACGCACGTCGGCGTCTCGATGCTGAGCGACTTGGTCGGATTCTTCAGCGACGATTTGATCTTCCGCTCGACCTTCGGGCTGCTCTCGCGCGACTTCCTCGGCGTGCGCGGGCTGCCCTTCTTCGAGCCCTTCGGGCTCACGCTGTCCGATCGCTTCTTGTTCGGGCTGGTCCTGCGCGACTGGTTCGGCGACGACTTTCTGGAATGGTTCGGGGTGGTTTTGCGCGATTGGTTCGGACTCGGGTCTTTCTTTTTCGCGTCGCTGGTTTGCCTTTGAGGCGATCGGGATTTGACTATGTGGACTTCGGCGTGCACCGTTTTTACGTTTGGCTTACCTAGCTCTTCGGTCTGCATGGGGTGGAAGTGTTCGGGCGCGTGCGATGATTGTATCAGCCGCGCCTGGCTGCCCGTGCTGCCCGCCGATAGCGTCGACGTTGTACTGGAAACCAAACCATCGTTAATATTTCTCGTTTACGCCCGTTATTAAGTGATACCTGAGTGTTAAATGGTTAGGCGTTTTCCCTAAAACGGACTTCGGTTTCACGTTGGTCGCTTGGGAATCTTCTTCTCCTTCAGATTTTGCGCTGTACTCCATTCGTTCGTGTTGGTGATGTTCTGTTCTCTTCGGCGGATCTTTTAAGTACACACCATTAGTGAATAAGAATTATATCTAAGGGAAATTATCGTACCTGCTTGGTCTCCTACGGTTTTGCTCCTGGATCGGAATGTTGTCATGGTAGGCTCGTCCGCTTCGGTGCTGATGTTGTCGTAATCGATATTACCGGCCGAATGCCTTTGGGACGTCTTGCCGGTCTTTTTCACCTTGCCCATCGTGTGGGAGCCGCCGTGCACGATGACCGACGTCTTCTGCCTGTCGGGCCGCTCGAGCGTCTGGCTGTTCAGGTGGCTGCTGGTCTTGTGGCCGGTCACCAGGATGATGCCGGGCCCGGAGCCGGGCTTCGTCTGCGGTATGGACATGTTCCTGACGGATTCCCGGATGATCTGCCGGATCGTCTTCAGGAAGGCGTTGCGGAAATCAGCCGTGCTGCGAACAGAATTTCTAATTACTTTAGTAATTTAGCTGAAAGATTAGACAAATAAGAGCAAAATATATATTTTATAGGCTGTGTTAAACGCAAAGTGTATCATCACGACGAATTATTCGATAGATCGTCATGGTACACCCTGCATAATGTTTGAGCTAATGCTGTGATGTTTGTGTATGAAGCGCATTGAGTATGGTGTGGTAAATGTTACTAGATGTCATGTCGCAAAGAAAAAATCGAGGAATAAAAAATAATTTCTTGGGACTTACCTGTTAGACAGAACGTAAACCTTCTCGGATCTTCTTTGCAATTGGCTGCGCAGATGGATCAGCTCCCACAGGAAGTGGGAATCCATGTCTTTGGAAGAGGAGGCCCGCACCTGGACTTCCGTCACCGGTATCAGGACTTGATATCTGATTATTTCCACCTCTGAGGAAGCGTTTTTGCTTGCTACTCCCTTTAAAAAATGCGAACCCCGTTAGTAGCGGATAATTTAATGTAACGGTATATTTACCATAAGTTTCTTCTTTTGCCTTAGACGTTCTTTGCATAGAAAAACGACGGCTGTCTTGAATACGAAACACATGGCGTGCAATTCGAGCCCTTTTTTAATTTTCCCCAAAAAGTCGGAAATGTTCAACCACTCCACGCCTCCGTAATAAAGGAGATCACCAGGACTTAAATCTATCGGCTGCAAAATTAAACCACCACAATTATACAATAAATTCTTCTATAAATCTATCTCTTACCTGTTTGCACGATTTCTGATGCTGCCTGAAGAGGTGATCGAATATCGCTCCGTATTCCTCGTGGATTCTTTGCATCTCATTAATGTGCTCGGCTACTTTCTCCATTCCTTTTAAGGCCTCTGGAAATCGTACACGAAAACAAATTAGCGCTGAAAAGCGTTAAATTCCAATTTTTCGTACCTAATAAGTGTTGGTGTTCGTCGCTGACGGGATCGGTTAAATTTCTGAGCTGTTGAAGCAAGAGCGGATATTTCAAAATTCTCTGTATGGGTTTGATGAGGTAAGATTCGAGCGTGGAAGAATGCTGTTGCTTGGGATTTCTGGCTGCTAAGAACTCCTGAAGTGCTTGATTGCCTTCATCTGAAATTTAAGGAAGTTAATAAATTAATATTTCTCAACTAGAGAGAAGAATTACTAATTAAAAGGTAATTTACTCACTGGGATGTAAAACTTTTTGAGCTTTACTATGACTGGCACAAAATGAACTGTATAGCTTAAAGTGATTCACGTAATACAAAAAGGAACTTCCTATTGCGAATAAAACATTCTGAAAAATAAAAAACGTTTTAATTTGAGTTGAAAGACGGGAGAATACGAAGTGTTTTACCTTAAACTGGCTACTGTATTCGAATCTATGAAAATCGGGTTCTATTTCAATCGCTTCTTCTAGGTTATTCAAAAATTGCCTCTGGAAAGTGACGATCTCCTGGATGTTGCCGAAGAGAGCGTTAATTTCCGCGTTCGAGAGGAATGTCTCCTTTTTCAAAGGCTCTAAGTAATTCTCTAACAGATTATTTAAATGCTGCAAAGAAAAAATTACCAACACTGCATTATTCAACCGAACACTTAATAATTAATTACTTAATAACTCCTTAAAATGATATGGTATAAATTCCGGAGGCTCTTCCGGGCGAAGGAGCGGAACGAGTTAAAGTTTCAAAATAATTAATTACGTTTAGGTGAAGCCGCCTCAAATTTTAATTAATTATTTCGGATTTTACCTTGTCAAAAATGTACGAAGTCACAACTTTTGATAAACAGATTATCTTATTAAAAAACCCGAAACGCGTCGGAGGCGGCCTCGCCGAGCCCCGATGGAGTTCGAAGTTTACCGAAATCCAGATACTAAATTGAGTTATTAGGCAAGTTTTTCATCCCGCATTATTCACGGGTTTTATATTCCGCCGCAAAGTTTTCTACACAACAACGGATAACCCGCATTGAAGGATATCCGCGATTAGTCGCCGGAAAAATCGCTCACAAACACGAATAAATCGTACCTTAACGTAGGCCTTTTCGGTATCCACCAGCTCCAGCACGACTTTCCTCAGTTTCTCCGCGTCCGACAGCTGCCTGGAGGCCACCAGCCCCACCTGCGAGGCGTTGCTGGCGATGCTGCCCGTCGGGCTGCTCACCTTCCTCGACTCCACCGGCGACCGGCAGAAGCCCGTCACCTGCTCGGCGGATTTCAGCAGGTTCTCGATCTCGAACGAATTGGTCCTCGAACTCACTTTTATACCCGAATCCGTCATCGACGAGGGAGGGTTCTCCGAGTCCGTGGAGTAACGATCTTTACCTGATGGAAAATCATCTTCACAGTACAAAATTTATAAAAACTCGGAACTTGGAAGATGGGAAATTAACTCACTCCAACCTGGTGCTGGCACGATGAGGCCGGATATCATTTCCTCGCTGATGACGGGCGGTTCCGAGGGAGGCGGCGGGCACACCAGGCTCTCAATGATATCATCGGTGGCTCTGAGTATGCCTGCTAGGTCCGGTGGTTCTGTTCGAGCAGAGCGCATCATCATGCAGAGCGCGAGTTCCTCCTGCAGGACGCTCTCCAGGTACATCATGTCCAAATCGGAGACGATGGCGCCGTTGATTACCATTATTTCGTCGCTTTTGATGATTCCTGAACCGAGTGAAATAGTGAAATTTTTTAAACGTATGGAATTTTGCGGATAACTTACCGTTCTGCATGGCGACGCTTTTGTCTTCGACTCGGCTCACGTAGCAACACAATTCGTCCTGCCGATCGGCGTTCTCCACCAGTTCCGCTTCCACGCTGAATCCCCACATTTGTTCCAAAGTGTTCCTCGATAATTCCACTTGGTAGAGTATCTTGGCGCAAACTTCGACGACTTCGTGCGTATGCAACTGAAATAAAGGGAACATCGCATCAATAAGATATCCGAAACGTGCTCGTTTGAAATGTATAATTATAATTATACATTGTGCAGTAATCTTCTTGCATTGGAGCTAAACAGCGCATAATCGAATTTTTTTCACTACAATGCAGCAGTAGTTCGTTCGCATTCGAGGATAAGTTAGTAAATAAAAGCGAGCAATTATCGAGCCGTTTCTAAATTGACTACTAATTCGATTGTCTAAGCGTTCCTTCGAGATTATCGGGCGCTAATTGAAAGGAGAACAGTTCCCAATTAGCGAGAATTTTTTTCCGACTCGCATTATTCTTTTCGTTTTTTTTCATTTTCGGCGGCAGATTCTTCGATGTCGAGCATAATTGATTTTTTGCTCCCCGAATACCGGCTCAAAATTTCTAAAAACCATCCCTTTTAAACGGGAAAGCTCTTGCAAAAAAATATTAAAGATCACTTGCGGAACAACAGGAATATCTGGACCTGTGCAAACTTATCACTTATCATACTGCAGAGGTATTTTTACATTTCACTTTTACAGGTTAAAGTGTCTTTGTAAGTAATGATAGAACGATTGGACATATAGGTGTAGGAAAATTGCCCGGAACAAAGTAACGGTAAAAGCTCCGGCGGGAAAAAATTGCCTTGTCAGTGAAGCTACATAAGCTGCGAGTAACCAGATTTACCGGCGAAATCGCATCCAATTCGCCTCCGGTAGGGCGAAGGGCCGCGTCCCTCGGTCCGGCCCTCGCGCCACGGGCACCAGGTTAAAGTGATTTCCTCGTTTCGATTTAGACTTTATATGAAATGGGACGAGACCGATCCATTCGGTATCGACTAATACGATCAATTTAAATCCTTATTCCATTGATACCAGCGCAAGGATTCAATCAGACCGGGAAAGCGTCGCGTCGTGTTTTTTCTTTCGCTTCTCTATATAACCTCTTTTTATTTGCCACTAAGGTGGAAACAGCAGAGGCGTCGAATCTATTATTCCCACCCTATCCTCCCACGCACGAGAGATGCGCCAAATAAAAACAAAAAACTAATTACATTTACAGTATATTTTTCATCTCCATAATACTCGCTTTTGCAACCTTATAACGTGTTGTATTTTTAACGGTATTAATTGATTTGGTACCCGACTCTGAGTACCTACCTCTTTATTTATCCAATGCTTCTCTTAGGCCGTTGATATCGAGAAGATAGAAAAGGATCGGAAGGATCAGGAGGACGAACAAGGACGTGTTTTTATCGTTCGCCGGTTGGCGTGTCGCAGATAAGTGGAGAAATGTTTATATAAAGTAACTTTCCGGGCAAGTACGTGAAAATTTTATAGATGATCGTATTTATTCGGCGGCGATGGGAATGCGTTGTCTCGGTTTTACTCGTATATGGGAAATCGCGTTCAAAATAATTAATTAGAGTACGTAATTAACGCGAGTAGTTAAGTCCATATTTGCAATATTAGTAGATAACATGGCTAAATTACAGCAAATATGTAAAATTTGGGTTGCGTTAATGATTTTCGAAGTCGATTCGTGATATTAGACCCAATTAACTCCAACGAATTCCATCCCCTAAATTCTAAATAGCACAAATAGGGTGGTTTGCCTAGTATTTTGTAATTTAATACACCTATTACGTAGTTTGTTTGAAAATCGAAAAGCATCCCTTTCATCAACACAGGATCAAAATTTTCTGCTAATTAGAGGACTGCATGCACAAAATTGTAAATAAAGGGCGAAATTATTATCGGGTATAAACGATTGAATTAGAAAGGTTTTCTAAATAACTAAAATTACAAAAGACAAGAAATTCGCAGGAATAAACAGATTGTATATAATAAAATCCAGTCAAATATAATTCATTTAATTAAATGTCATCCCTTTTCGTCCTTTCAGATTAAATCTAATCGGACCAACGCGTCTATTCAACCGTTAATGATTTTCCTGAAGCAAAGCGTAATTGAAGATAATCAGTATTGGCCCTTTAATTAAGCTGTATCTAATTATACAAATTGCATAAATTAATTCGGAAACGTATCGGCCGGATCTCCAGACGCCGTAATTACCAATTTCGTATTTACCCAGAGTCCCGACAAGAGAGCAAAAAAAATACTAATAATTAAAGCGCCTTCGAACGCAGGCAAGACGAAAATTTCATTTCGAATCACGGAACGCTTTTAAATTTCCAATCGCCCGGATCCCGGCGTGCAACAGACTCGAACGTTCGCATAACACGAATTATTGCATAAAATATTATGCGCTTAATCCGTATACCCGTCCGCGTTTAGAATGCGCTCCGAATTCGAAAACAGAATCCGGATTTGGCCCGACATTATTCATATTCCTTAAGCCGAAGTCGCTTCCCGAAAAGCACCAAGTTCCATTCGATAAGCTCCGGATAATCCGAATCCGTCGAAAGTTATTCGATTTTCGTCACCGCGACCCCTACACAACACGCTTGTATTCCTCCAACGAAATAAAGTCACAATATTTTACCTATTTGTTAATTAATTATAAAAATAATTCTTCTCTAATTCAATACTAGCTACACGCTACTTGCTACTGTCTACTCTACTACACTCTTCCTACATTGAAATGCTCTTTATAACGCAGCGCTAAGAATTTTCGTTTGAATTTTTAAAACACTCGTCCCTTGTAAAATTTATAGTTATGATAGACTAAAAGTAGTTTTCCACGTTCATTTTCTAGGGATCAAGGGTACGGTACCACCGCGAAATTTAATTCGAGCGGCCGCTTTTTTTTAATAAACGCACAAAGAATCGAATCGAAAGCGGAACACCGAGTCGGGAATCGAACAAAACCGCGCGACTCGACTCCCGACAACTCCGGGAAAGCGCTTCTTTCTTCTTTTCAGCGACCGCAAACCAATCCGGCGCGTTCGCCCGGAACATTCCTCGTTTTCGAGTCGGCTAAAGCGGAATCTCTGAGAGAGGGATTACAACAAAAAAAAACCGGTCGACGGGAATCGGCATCCGAAGGCCGTTCGATCGTTTCGGGGAGTTTAATTGACGCGGGGACGCGGGTTTTTTAAAGTCGCTTCTTTTCGTCGAGGGATGTATAAACAGTGCATGTATAAAAGAGAAACGTTTCCCGCGTGCGCTTTGTTCTTTCGGACGCTGCATTAGAATTGCGGAGTCGGTATAAACTCGAACTTCAAACGCTTTATACCAGCGGATATCTGGATATGAACGTCGAGGAATAATTGGATGCGAGGATAACGAGGAAAAGCTGTTGTGTGCAATATATTTATTGTGTTCAAAAAGAGCTTAGTTTGGAATAAAATCATGACAGATGTATATACTTTCAATAGTGATTTATTTCGTTACAAAATTAGCATCCAACTAGGCGAAGTTTGCATTTCCAAAGGAAGTCATTAAAAAATACAAGCTTATTAAAGCTACGAATACTTCAAACCTCTTCAAATGCAACAATGAATTAATAGATATGAAAACTTCTATGGGAAATCTATAACGGAAATCCTACTCTCCCAAACCTACTCTACCCTGGCCGACCTCTTCGTTAGAAAAAGCAAATTTCTTAGTTTTCTAGCTTTCGATTTTAGCCGTTGTATAGATGGAAGAAACATCAATAACTTACGTATGTTTCGATCAAATCGCTGCGATGCGGCACGTAGTAATTGTGGTCCTCCAGATCTTTCCTCTTCTTCACGCGAATGAAGTGCTCGGTCGAGTTGAGATTCTTCCTGGCGCAAGCGCTGGCAAGGAACTCCTCCACCGACATGGATTCCCTGACGTACACGGTGGCGAACGCGTTGTCCGGCAGCGACACTTTCACCGTCTTCTCCGCCTCGTCGCGGGAATTCATCTGGAAATCAATTCCGTTAATCGATAAATCCCTCTAAGTTTACTCGAAAAATAAAATAAGGCATACGAAGCACGTTGGTTTCGCGTGGAAGGTCGCGCAACTCGCGACTTCAGCTATCCCTAACGGTCTGTACCCAAGAATTTATCAGTAATAACATTGGTAAAGTCAAATTAAAGATCCTGAAGGTAACGGGGTGTAAATCAAAACTTCCCATTATTATCCTTTATATTCGTTCTTTCTGCTTTAATGGAGGATTTTAAAAACTATAATGGGACTTTCATAATCTCACATGTGCAGTTTCCTTTTATATCCCGTGCCGTTTGCAGTACGACACGAAGCATTGCTTAAAACAAAGATCCCTATAAACCCGCATATCCGCTAACCGTGTAATTTAGTAGTAGTTTTATGTGTACTTATGCGGGATTAGTACTCAGAAAAAGCGTAAAACACCTGTTTTTACTGATACTTGTGATATAAAAGGACCATTTCTTATAGAAATGAAATTGACACCAAGCGCAGTTATAAAATATTGTAAATTTTAAATTTAAAATATACGATTTCTAGAAAAAAAAGCCAAATTTGTCAAAATGTGAGAAGGTATAATTCGCATTATTTCCATATACATATTTTACGAGGTAATAAAAGTAGTGCATACAATGCCACAATACCATAAGAAAACAATACAAAGTGACAAATGCGATTACTAAGAAATAAAAAAAAATCCGCGGAAAATCAAAATTTAATCGCTTTAATCCCCGACTTACATTTCATACATCTCTCGACGATCCGGCAACTTTCCCTCAACTTTTCCAATAAAAAAACCGCCGATATTGTTTCCGCGACAAAGAAAAACGGCTTCCGAAAATGTCGCCGAGTTTTCCACAAGCATTCGCAAATAATCTCGTTTAATTCCGGTCGGTTTCGCTTCAACCCTTTCAGCAATTATTGTCTTAGCCTTTGTGGAAGCGCCATAGCGACTCAAAGAGGGCCGAAATTCGTATAAACTAATACGATTTAATACGCGAAGAGGTGTCGAATAAGGGCCAAACTTACGTAACGACCTTTAGAAAAAGGGCCACTCGATTAAAGGAAGGAATCGTTTAGATAACTCGAATCTCTCTCTTACGGTTCATTGTTGAAGTTTCTTGATTTCCATAGCGAATACATTCGAGGGGGTTGTAAATGTATTATAATTTGCCTTTGTTTCATTTAATTTTCTTCTCAATCGCGTTTGTTTAATCGAAGTTCTGATCAATGCGGACGATTTCTCATCGTCTAATATTAGCTCTTTACTGCGAACTTTAAAAATTGAATAAAAAGTCGAATTGAAAAGGCTAAATTATCAGGGGCGTACTCAGCTAGAACTTAATAAAGATCAAAAAAGTGTAAGAAATTATAGGTGTTGTATGGAAAATAAGAAAAGTACAGACAATGAATGAAAAAATTTAAATCCGGTTCTGTAGTATCTTCAACTTCCTTTCTAAAAAAGGAAATAAAATGTAACTAAGCCAGTGCTAAAGGCGTAATTTATGGCTTTTGAGAGAGCACTATCATAATGGACGCCGAAAGTCTGGAAAATCTTATGCTGTAAATTGAGAATAAGAGAAAATGCACGGAAACAGAAAAGGAAGCTGAAAAAAAGTTGCATGATCTGGGCCACAAACTTCAATTCAACATTGTTCGCAGCGATTCGGAGGCCATGCGTTCTTGTGCAGCCCATAAATTTTTATATCTCCCAAAGGAACGAAAATATTTCATTACCAATACGATCTGATTCTCCAACGAATCAAACTGTACGTACAAAGAAATGTGCTTACTTGCAAGGACCTCCTGCTGGAGCCGCTGTTCGATCTGGACAACATCGGAGGCCTTCTCTTCGTCGCTCCCCTTCCGGCCAGTAAATTATTCAGCAGCGACGGGCTCCTGGCGCAGATGAACGCGTGGAACGAAGACACCGTGAACACGCCCAGCTTGTTCAACGTGTTTTTCGTCGCCCTGGACACGTGAGTCAGCAGAGACTGCAAAGGAAAAACGGGCGAACGTTTAGCGTACGGCGAGCCTACTAAAAGTAAATTCCATTAAAATTAATAATATTCTCATCCATCTCAATTTCCCGCGGCCTGGCGCAGCTGGAAATCCATCTGCAGACATTCAACGTGATTAATCCGATCCACCCTTCAACTGTCAAATAAATTCCCCGGTAATCCGCATGCCAGGGAAATAGACTTTTCCGGAAAAATAAAATGATTTGCTATAAATATGAAATCCTCGAGACGCTACAGGTTTATAAATAGAAGCGGAAACTGTCTCTATATCTGGACGCATTTCCACTTTTTTTCGTCGAGATCCGACAACTTTCCAATTGGATATGCCAATTACACCAGGAACATTTTATTTTTGGTTACCACCTTGGTAGTTTTTGAGATGATCTTTAATAATAATCACCTTACTGACTGGTGATTTAGATACTACTGTAGTGTTTAATGTAAAATATCCATTGGGTTGTTGGTGTGTAAAATAATGACAGTACAAGAGACATTCCAGCTTGTTGCAGGTTATAATTAAATTTGATGCATAGCACGAGCACAATTAAGCGACGCAAAAGTGCATATTGCATACCGGCGCAGCGTTTATTCCGTGCCATCATAATGCCCAAATGAACGCGGCTAAATGCGTGTTCAGTGACTTTTCGTCGAACTATTCTGATAAATTATTTGTCGGAAAGTGGAAATAAACCGTAATGATGGTCGATGGAATGTTAACGGAACTTCTGCATACGATCGAACAATTCCAAAACGAAATGGCCGGCGATTTTCAGCACTTACACCGCCCTTTGACACCGACAAATTGATTTCGCATGTTGCTACATCCATTCGTATATGCGGTGCATGTGGTGTTGCGGGAGATACAGTGCACTTTGCCATAATGATAATGTTGATAACACCGAAGCTATCTTTTATCTACGAATGATCCACATAAAAGCGCTTTTGAAAAAACTTTTACCACCTTCCTTTCATCAAACCACGCTTAATTTTAATGCATTTAATGCATATATCTATGCGAAAAACAGATTCTCGAAACCCACCAATATCTACCCACATGTTTGTGCTGCACGTACGGCATTATGTAAGTTTTAAATTGCATCGAGTGAAGTATGCTCGTATCATTATTATAGCAGCCTATTGTCGTCTGGAATTCGATGCCGAATCCATACAACCAGCCGTGCACCGAGCAAAGTTGTGCACTATAACGAGTGAAGTTTTAACCGGCGGGAAAATTTATTATTAGCAACTTTTCGAGTGACGGCTCGGCTTCGCGTATGCGAGAGAGGCGGTTCAGGAAACCGCCCCTGTGGACATCGAATAGCTTCTTTGGAGCGGGGCAAAGGGGCGCTGGCGGGCGGACGGGCGTGCGGTTTATCGAAATAAGGAGCGTAGGTGGGCGATTTGTCAGAGGGTGGCCTTGTTTGCCGGAGGTTATTAGGTTGTAGTTTTCGTGAATATTGAGTTATGGACGCGGCAGAAACTGTTCTGGAGATTTATGGGGAATTTCGCGAATGGAATTTCGGCCTTTTCAACTTTGTTGTGATCGCATGTTAGTTTAGTAGGGCAGATTTTGTTGAAAAATATACGGTTATTTCACCATTTTCGCAAATGGATTCATAAAACATTTTGAAAAAGCCGTTATTAAACTTGCTATAAATTTTAAATACATAATCGCATAAATACCTAAAAAACAAAATATATTCATTTAAACTGCCGTGCAATAGCACTTTTTATATAAATGAATAAAATTGAATCAATTTCCATATTAATTTCCTCTAACGAAACGTGATTGCCCGGATTAAAAAAGAATACTAATTTTTAAGCATAAATATTTACCACCAAATTTACATTATTTTTTGATAAAAATAAACTTACTTTAGGATTGGGCAATTCTCCGCTTTGTAGGCTAGCCATGTAACAACGCAGCCTGAACTGTTCGCAATGGAGTCTCTCCAAATTTTCCTCCCATTGAACCACTTGGTTAGCGATCTGTTGACGCGCATCAGTGTCACCTACAACTGATTGTTGCATCTCAGCCATATGTTTCAATTTGTGATCCTGAAACAAATTCAGAAATTATAGAGAGTTTATATTTCGCTTAGCCCTCGTAAAATGCATCTTCCAGTTCACCGGTATAACATCGTTATTATCCGAAACAACTCGATCCAAATTTAACAGTGCAATATTTAAAAATGTTGGATTTAACAAGCGTCGCGACGCCATCGGCAATTCTTGTTTGGAAAATGCACTAATTTCGATGCAATTTCCCGGTGCTTTGCTTATGCATCGCCGATAACTCGGCTCGTTAGTCGTTGGAGAAATAACGAGGTGAGATATAACAAGGCGACTTTACGGATGCGATCTGCGTAAATATGGATTCGTGTAAATAACTAATTACATCTGAATTAATTCATCGATTACTTGTTACGTTTGGTTTGCCATTAGTTTAAATAGATGCACTGGTGATTGATTAATTTGTTTGCAGCACGTGTTGTTATGTGAATCAATAAAGGCGGATAGTTGATGCAAATTAATTGAAAATTCGTTTTGAATTGAATTAAATGTTGCAAAGTGATGCATGAGTAAAATTTAAATTTGAAGACGTCCCTGCACGAGTTCACCACAAGAGTTCCCTAATTATTTCTTCCTTGAATTTAAAATAATGACTTTAGGGACAATTATTTCTCGTTCAACAATAGCCTGGTTTTTGTGATGTCCTAAAAATAGAAATGTTCTCACCACACTCCTTTATTTTGACGTCCTCATTAGTTTTCTTCTATTTCTTCTAACAGCGTAATGGAGTAGCATTTTTGCTCTAATTTTACATTTACGAGCTTTCAAATTATAGAGATAATTTTTTTCGATAACAACTTCCGAGATAAATTGCTCCTTATTAATACAAAAAAAATCAAAAATGAAATTAAAACTTTCCCTCACTCATAATACAATTCCCGATTCGAAAATGTTTTTCACTTTCTTCAGATCCCATTATTTGTTACGTTTAGATACGAAACTTCCGAGTTTGCTCCGCTAATCGGATTAAGATCAATAAAAAACTTCGGAATTGCTTCGTAAAGTTCAACGTTTAATGTACAGCGTACACTCGTCGATCGTGCTCGAACGATCGAGCAAAAAAACCGCAACGAAAATTATTTCGCGGCATAACTTTAATTACCGCGCAGACGTTTCCCATTCAGCGCGATTATTATTCAAACCCGCGAAAACTTCCTCCGATATGCCCTCGTTTCGAAGTTCTCGTTCGGCAAAAATCCGCTTCTCGAATCATTTCAATTCTCCGATACCGCCTTAAAAACTAATCCCGAGCGCCGGCCTCCGGAAACTCTGGAAAGAATCCAACGGCTGGAAGAGGGCTCAGGAGACCCGCGAGTCGCTGCAAACTTTAAAATATCACAGTCAACATGTCGCCTCGAATATTGTGCCCGGAGTTTGTTTCCCAACTAACCAAAAAAAAAAAAAGAAAAAAATCGATTCGCAAAGAGCTCAAAAAATACCCATAGGTGCGTATAAACTTCCACTCCTCAACGGCTCTATCTGGAGCGGAGAAAAATGATCTGTACAGCGCAGTCACAGCCCGTAGAATTTATTAAAGGATGGAACGAACTTCGATAAATTTCCCGCGTACGTTCTATGTGTCAGCCTGGTAAACAAGTTCCGAACAAATTGTTTCTTTGCGAGAGAAATACAGCGCAGGGATCTTTATTAAAACGGCCCATGTATACCTATCCCGTGGAAACGAAACAAAAGAACTCGGCGAAATGTTGCGCCTCTCGCATCTTGCAGCGCTTTATTGCTTCCAGTCCGGGCATTATCGCGATATCAAAGTGATTTATGGTCTCGTGCATTTCCATCTCAATGAAAGTAATTAGCCAATATTGCGGAATACGTTACAAGCAAAGGAGACAATAATGGGCTCTTTCGGGAGATTTTCTTTAGGCTACACGGTGCTACAGGTATGTAGCGATGTAAGTTATCTTGCACGAACGCAATATGATGGAGGAAGTTTTTTAAATAAGTTTAATATTATAGTATGGTAACTGTCTTTGTAACGTTTCTCTTATCTTTCATTCATAATACTTGAGTCTGGTTGATACTATTGGATACATAAATAACACACTTTTGACTTACTTTGACTTTGACTTACTTTGTACTTACTTTTTTACCAACTTTTTTAATTATTTTTAATTATTTATTTTCACTGGGAATGCTACTACATTATGTGGTCTGTAATATAAGTGTAGAAATGTTCTTCATTCTAAAGTAAAATTAATTTCGTACATCGGTGGTGAAATTTTTCTGCTATCAGTTTTTTTTTATGATATTTTAGGTAATTGGATTTTGATTAATTTTTCAAGAACAATACCGTTTCCGGGCCGGCAGCTTGCGAAATTAATCCACCGGAAGAAAGGATGAACAGACAATTTCGCTACGAATAAGGCGTTTAATTAAATTTTTTAATTACGATTTTCTCGAATATTTCAGTATCAATAGATATACACAGAGTTGTTTGTTAGCAACTCCGCAATATAATTAATTATTCATCGGCTATTCAAGCTCGTAAACGACCCGTTTAGCTTCTTCCGGCTCGCTTGAAATCTAACCTCGCGAATTAGATATTCGCTAATCCGGTCGATGCGATTCGAATATTTCACTCGAACCGATCGCAATGCAAATAGAAAACTCGTTTGTCGTATACGAACCTCCACTAAAGAGGAAGCAAATACCTACAGAGAATCCACTAAAATAATTTCCGTTACTGCAATATCCATTTTTCCAATTTCAGCTCACCAGCTCAGCTGGACATAAATGTAGTATAAGTTTCTAAAAAGGATGATAGTCCATGTGCCGGAATATTTTAGAAAACTCTTAACACTTAATTAGAGTTTGATAATATAAGTTAGATTTCTACAAAACGATGTTTTTCTTTATTTTATGGAGCAGTAGTTTGAGAAGTGTGCATGAGCTATGAAAGTTTATTACATCCTAAATAGATCACCCTATATGTTCAATATATCTAGTATATCAGTTATGATTTAAAATACTAAACAAACATCTAGCACCTAGCTATTTAAATGATAATTTTCCCGATACTGGCGTGCGGAATACAATCCCGTTCTATCTTCCCATTCGCCGGTCCTCGGGCACCCGACATCTCTCACAAAACAACCAAAACGCCAGGAACTTCCACAAAAGGAACGTCCGCCTGTGAAAATTACGATTTTCTTGTGAAATGGAGCACGGCTTTAAGTGTCCTCGCTCACGCAGTTGTATCTGCGGTAATTGTTTTATTTCCTCGTCGTTGTTTCGAAAAGAATTCGAGGCGACCTTCCCGAACGCCAAATTGTTTTGCGAATATTTATGCACCCGGTTGCAATTCGTTTTTTTTTTTGGGAAATAAACATTTCATTGTGTCGCTAATTAATGAGACGAAAATGTATTTTTCGAGTTCTCTCGATCGAATTGAATGAAAAGATTAGCGACATTCGCCGGAGTCCCTGTTGCGAATTTCCGCCATTGAATTAATTATTTTTTCTATTTGATTTAATAATTGATTCGTAATCGCATTTCGATCAAACAGTCCAATTAAAATCTCTAATTGCATCGCACGAAATGATTGACAAATTGTATAAGGTTTTATGCGCGTGTATCTCGTTAACGTGCACCATTTAAAATTAAGCCCCGATATAGCGTTGTTTATAGAATAAATGCATGAAGAGTTTTTGATCGGGCACATGCAATCTGCGATTTTCGATTTGCGCGAAATCTAACGGATTATTGTTTATTTGCTGGCAAAAACGATTAAATTAATTCAGTTGCGATGATAATTTCATATTGTATAGGCCAGGAAGAATTATTAAACCAATAACTAAACTAAAAAGACAGAATATTATTCACTCTCGCGGAAAAAAGCCTTCAAAAACTTGATAGAAAGAAAATGCTCCAAATAACCTTCTGGAACCTCTTTTAATTGAATTGTACCTTAAGATTCGTGAAGATGAAGTCAAGATAATGTATCTAATAAATAAAAACTATATATTTCTAGACGATTTAGGTTCTTACCGTTTCGATTGCCTTCTCCAAGCGAAAGATCTCCTCTTGCAGCAGATGCAGAGTTCCAGTTTTACCGCGGTGTCTGGCGAAAGCTGCGGCGCAAGCACTGTGTATGCTGTTTACCCAATTCTCCAGTTCCACCTGCGAACAAAACGTCACGGCGTTACTTCGATGCGAACAATACGGCATTCTGGTGTGCGATAACATTCCGCTCGTGTTGGATTAGAAAACAAATTTTTGAGATAACACTGGCGAGGTGTTAATTTGGCAAAGCCGCGCTGCCGCTTGCATTTGGAGTTTTTACAGATTTTTCCGGTGAAATTCGAAACTTATCTAATTGCATTGTGTCCCTTTATTCTACCTTCGACTGGTGAGGTTTGCACGGTAGACAATACGCCGTAACGTTTCGCGAATGCTATTCAATTCAACCGCATCTGCAGAATCGGGTTATTCTGTTTCGGTTTCGAAGGGAATGTTGAAAATGGGTGGAAACAACAAAATGAGCCGATTCGAAAATATGATACTGCTAGTGATAAATTTGTTGTGATGATTGCAACTGCTAGGTGCGGAACATGCATTGAAAATATTGCATTTTTTTGTAGATTTTAGTTGAGACAATCTACTTGTACTTATATAGAGTGTTTAAAATTAGGTAGGTAACTTTTCTATCGTTTTGCTTAACTTTTTCGCATTTTTAAAATTACAGTAAAATGAACCTGCAATAATTGATAGTAATTGTCACTTTATTAAGTCAAAATAATTTTCCAGGAATGAGTACGACAGACCTATTTGCAGACTCTGCAGATTCCATAACAGAAAACGTGCCTCTTCGAACCAAAACCGAAATCATACCCGGTGGAATCACTCAGAACCAAGAGGAGCCTCACACTTCGGGATGCTCTATAACAAACCAAAACGAAACCTTGGACTTCTTGAAACCTGCCAAACCAACCGAAGAGGATATAGAAATCACCAGGCTGTACTCGGAACCGACGCCTGTAATCGATTTAATGCGAGAGGATGTTATCTTGAAATCGCTGGAGGACTTGTGCCAGCAGCTGGTTAGAGAACAAGAAACGGTTCTGGAGAAATTCGCTAATACTTATTCTAACACCACCGCTCCAGTTCTTCAAGGTAAGATAATTTCAGTTAATTTTTGATGAAATGTAGAAACCTATTATGACTGTATTGGAACCTAAAATTGCACCAATTTAATTAAGTTTACGATAGTAAAGAAAATGTGATTATGGTTGCCTATTATCACGGTCTCCTCCACTTTTAAACGTCTGAAACTGTGTGCAATGGGTTGCCTATCCATACTCAAACTACTGTTAAATAAGACCTCTACATCCTCTATACTTTCTGCTATAAATTCAAAAAGTACCCACTATTTAATAATTAATTGCAGTTACGAATGAAATTGGCATCGGCACAGAAATCGAAGAAATTCCGATACTGAGCCGGTATCCCGAGGATCCACCGCCACCTTACACTTATACCAATCGAGAACAACCCCCGAGATACTACGAAATCGAGAATTTACCCTCTACGCAAATTTATAATTCATCGATCGCCACCAGTCAATACCTCAGCGCAACCGATTTGCTAGATATTTTCGCTACGCGGAAAAGCAGAAACATATTTTTCTCCAAGGTGTATCTAATCCTCGGCTTCGAAACGTTGCTGGTGTACCTGTTCACGCAGGTATGCGTAAGCGTGGCGATTCTGGAGCGATTCATTTCGGGACACGATATAATCGTGCTGATGGCCATCATGTCGTTGCTACTAGTGGAGTTCATTTTATTCTCCGAAGTCGAATTGAGGAAATGGTTTCCGTTCAACGCCTTGATGTTATTTGTTTTAAACGCAATAATAGCCTACATATCGGCCTACACGGCCGCTAAATTGGAATCGTACGCTATTGTTTATGCAACCGCGATCGGTTCGTTGGTTTTTTTCGTTCTATCCGTCGCGACGCGGTTGAATGTAATCGATATAGGCCGCAGGAGCAGCGTTTTCTTGATATTAGTCAGCCTAGCGGGATTATTTGTTTTAGCGATGATTTTTGTAAGAGCATTCAAGAGTAGCTTGGTGTTTCCCATCGTTAGGGTGTTTTTTATCATATTTTTGTTCACCGTGTACATCTTGTATGATACTAACCAAATTATCAGAGGCCGCAGAATTCGAGTAAGTCCCGGTGAATACACATTCGTCACTCTTACTTTACACACTGATATTATTGCTATAACAAAATGTTGTCAATAAATATGTTTGTTTATTCCGTCATTATTCTATTATTATAAAAAACACAAACACAAAAACATAAAAAACACAAGTCTTCGAAAACGACGGATCCTCGAATGTTATGCAATCTGAATTACACATGTGGTATTCGATTCAACTAATAATAAGTATAGTAACATTTTAGGGACTTTTGTTTCTCACTAACTACTCAGTGTCACAACATTTTGACGTTGAACATTCCGAGAGGATTTGGGGTAATGATTTCGAAGCAACTATTCGAAAGGTCCAGCGGCGAGCTCTATTTCGTTATCGAGGAAAATTACAACGTCATCCGAAAGAAGCTGCTGGATAAATCCAAAAAGAGGCTGAACACTTGGTCGGGGGAATCGGAAAACGTGAAGGAGAAGCCGATTTCGGAGTTCTTCGGGGCGATAAATTTGGACGATTCCCTGGAGGAATTGAATAAGAAACTGATGAAAGAGAAGGAACAGGTGCTAATTGAATACGGCAAGGACCACTTCGAGCGGGAGTTGTATTCGTACTTGTACATCGACCCGTTGTGTCCGGCCCCGTATAATGATAGCGACAGCGAGGATAAGAAAATACCGGCCCAGCGGATATTCGCTTATCCGGTCCAAACGGCCGCGACGTTCGCGGAGAACGGCGACGAGAGATTCGAGAGTTGGTTCGACGAGCAGAAGAAGAGGAACCGTTTTATATCCAAAGTTTTTTCCATCCTATTTATCCAATTACTTTTTACGGCGTCGTTTATTTTTTTGGCCATCACCAACGGTGCTGTAAAGGAGTTCATCCAGGAACAATTTGCGTTAATAGTCGCTTCTTTGGCGATTGAAACTACGGTATATTTCACGCTAGTTTGTGTAGAAAGTTCGAGACGAAAAACACCGATAAATTACATTCTTCTGGCGTTATTCACGGCAGCTAGTACGTACATATCCGCGTATTTTAGCGTTTATTTCGGTACCGATATGGTTTTTTTGGCGTTCGGATCGATAGCCGTAATATTGGCAATCATTGTATTTATAGCTTTCATAAATTGTATTGATGTTACGGCATATGGTTTCTATTTTTATGTAATAATTTTATCAGCGGCGATATTTAGTGCTTTCGTTTCTATACACATGATTTTTACACAATCATTTACTATGTATTACATATTGCTCTACTTTTTGTTGATTGTTACTGTTCTATTTCTTCTTTATCAGGTGCAGATGGTGATAGGAAAAGGACGTTACGTGTTGTCGCCGAAGGAACACGTTTTTGCTGCACTTACTTTGTACACTTGCATTATTGATATATTTAGGATTTTGTTGCAAATACTGGCTAATAGATCATGATTGGTTTAATTGTGATTTAAATAATAAAGAAAAAAAATATTTTTTTTAAGTTTTACTAATTACAAATTTAGTCTTGGTTTATTAAGGAGTTGAGTATTTATAATTTTAGATTTTTGTTCATTATAAGTTCGGATTCGTTTCAGAAACTTCATCTTTGTTTCATTTTGTAGGAAAAACTTCGTTCTCAAACTATCTAATTTGCATCCTTTTATAACTCTTCCACTTTTCGTGATATTTCGATTTTTCACGATGCTTATCACGAAATCGATAATAATTTTGCAATTTCATCCGTAACTCACAAAATTCTCATTCTGAAAACATCATTTTAGCGTCATTTCATAGAGTAAACTTTATTCCCGTACTCTTCAAATTCCAATATTTTTCCAGCTCTTCTAGTTTTTGCGTTATTCCTATTTTCCCGAAATTTATCCTTCTAAAGGAATCGAAAAAAGTGGCTTATTTAGCAACTTTATCCATAATTCCCAAACTTTTTAGAAACTTCATTATTTTTCAATCCATAAAGAAACCTCACATAAGACATATACTTCAAAAATCGAAAACTTTCCTTCCTAATAGTGTATTACACTTTAACTCGCCTAGACCACAGCAGCATTTTACAAAAATATTAAAACCAGAAACTCAATAAAAATAAAATTTAATTCAAGAAAACGGATATTTTACGCATATACATCAACCATCATCAACCATCATCCCAATCGATAATCATCCGCATCCGCCTTACTTCTTCAGCAGGTCCTTGTTGATGCATTCGAGCGAATCCGTCTCGTAGTCGTTGAGAGAACCCTCCACCTCCTTGCGCCCGTCCGTCTGGCAGTTGGCGAACGAATTGTCCACCATCTTCTCCTTCGTCTCCTTCGGAGGGCCGCTCGGGATGTCCCGCTCGGACATCGCCACGTCCGTCAGGATGGTCGTCGAGATGATGTCCTGGATGTCGTCGGCCAGACCCTTCTCGCCCTGCAGCTTCGTCACGGAGATTTCGACGCCCTTCTCCAGCTTAATCGAGCACGTCGACATGGTCGTCATTTTGCACGCGAATTTTGCAAATACCGAGAGAATGTTGTACACTGATTAAATTTGCCTGACAAGTGAAACTTCGAGGTGTCCGTTGCTAGGATTCCGGGGCGATGCATTTAATTTGATATTATTGGTGCACCAAGACCCAAGAGACGTTTCTATAATTTACAATCGCTTGGTATAAAGTAAGAGAAGAATAATTATTGTCAAATGGTTTATTTATATACATTTTAAAATGCTTAAATTAGTAAATTTGAACGAAATTTAATACAATGTCTTATGAAGATGAACCGACCTCATCGACAACGTTGGAAGACAGTAATTTAGAAAATATCATTAGTAATATTATTAAGGATATACTAGAGAAATTGCAAGAACAAGAACCGTACGATGAGTGCAGGAATATAATAAACAACAGCTTTCTCAATGCGGAGACCGGGAACAACAGCAAAAAAGAACTAAAATCGATAGAACAAAGCTACTTGCAATCGTTTATCAAGAGGACCAAGTTGTTCCGATCAGTGAGTACTCTATCGCTGCCGCATAGACAAACATTCGTGTACTTAACGAGAGCAACATCGAGGCACTACATCGTCCACAGGTACGAGCACACGAGGCATTCTATGATAGGACCCAACTTATCCAGGACGGGCTTCATTAACCGAATTCTCATCGACACGGTCGTACAATTGATCGTCACGTTCGGCATTCTGCTGACGTGTTTCTACGTGAAGCCGTTGCGAGATTTCGTCGGGCACAATCTGATGGCGGTGTTCGGTTGCCTTACCATACAACTGATCATGTTCATTATACTCCTTTGTACGGACGAGAGCAGGAAATCGTGGCCGGGCAATTACATTCTGCTCGGCGTTTTTACGCTGCTCACCAGCTACCTGTTGGGATTCATCACGATTAAATACGGTTCGGAGACCAATATGCTCATCAGCGCCGGCGTTGCTCTGCTGAGCGCCACCGCGGCCGTCGGGATCTCCTGGGTGAATTGGTGCGACGTGACCCTCTGGTACTACGTGATAGACGTGGCGGTGCTGTCCACGCTGGTGTACTACATCCTGGCGTCGCTGTTGTTCTGGATAACCGGCACTCACCTGCCGCAGTACATATTTTACTGCGTTTTTTTCTGCGTCTTGTGCGCATCGCTGCTCCACCAGCTGGAACTGGCGCTGGGCAGGGGGAAGTTCACGCTGGCACAGGAGGAATCGCTTTTGGCCGTCGTTATAATTTTCGTTGAAATATGCTTTTTATATATCTGTATGTTATTCATTTTGAATGGTCCGCATTAGGGGTAAATAAAGGTAAGTTTTAAATAATCTTTTAGTGGAGAGTTATTTCTAAGCGATATACCTTCAGAAGATTTATTAACGAATCTTCTTCGTCTCCTTCGGAGGGTGGCGAATGTAGTATTACTTAGGATTTACTAACGAAGATTTAAGAACGAACGATAATTATTTTGATTTATATAGAACGTCTGCTAGAAATTTTTTTTGCAAACATAAAAAATGTGATTTTTCATCAAGGATTCAGCACGCATTTATGACATACTGGTATCAACATACATCAGCGCGAATATACAACGAAAATTTAATAAACGTAGTGCTTAATAAGGCACGTAATATACCTAAAGTGCCTAGAAACGGAGCACGAAATCGATAAGGTCGCGGAGATCGGTAACAAAATTAAACGAAACAAACCTGGCAAGGCGCCTGGAACAAGTATGCATCACCGAAAGCGGTGCTCAAACAGAATATGTAGTCTCTCTTCGGATGCTCCGGAATGGGCTGCATGATGGCACCGTCGACGATGATGAGGTGCTTCGGGGCCGCTTCCACCGATCGCCCTTCTCTCGAATCGCAGGGGTAGAAGAGCAGCGTGGTGCCCTTCAGGCACACCCAGTAGCCCTTCCAGCCCCGTTTGCGCGCCAGCTCTATCTGATGCTTCTTGCGCAGCAACCATTTTTTGACGCTGAGGAATCTGCAATAAAAAAAATATTTACATAATAGAATTAAAAACTCGTCGAGAACCTGTAGAAATTGTGATGTTTTGGGAGTATTCTTTCAAAACATTAAATATTTGCGGTAGAGGGTTAGGTGTTTTTATTTCTCCGGGGTTATCTAATTAGAATCTGATAGGAGTGGTTTCGGTTGTGGTCGCTCAATTTGAATTCTCGATATTTCTGTAGAGTTCGAAAGGCTGTTCCCTTTAATCGGATTATACCCGCACAATAAAACACCAGCAGCGCAGATGAACGATATTTTCGTTGAGGATTTCCCGCAAAAAAGGTCGTTTTAATAAAATCTACTGTTTACATTTTAGCCTGTCGGGTGAGTAACCCCAACCTTTCGCATTGAATGTAAACGGCTAGTAAACAGCGAAAGGTTATTTCTGAGTTGCAAAAAACTCGCAGAAGGTTCGATTCGGAGCTCGAAGTGGGTTTGTATTGCTTTTTCTGCTTTCATTTTGTTTTAGGGCTCTTTCTTCGACGATCCTGGCGCATTGAAATTTCCTTATAAGCTCCTCTACACTTTGACTGTACCGGAACAGCATTATACTTGCATCTAATTACGCTAAGACATTTTTTATGTTATCTTGCATAAAAGAAACGAGAAAATTCGTACAACATTACGTCGAGTTTATTTTAGCCGTAAAGTCCCTTTAATCCTGTCTACGCGACGGCGAAGCAACAAATTAATTTTCGTAATAAAAGAACTTTATAACCATCCTCATTCATCCACTCCATAAATATAAATCAACTTCCACTCGTTGCCGAACGACCCGAGGAATTTTTTAATGAAACTTGTCCCGTATAAACGAGAAATCCCATCGACAAGAAGCAATATCGGTTCGCGAAAATATTTTTCTTTCGAGCAGATAAATGGGTCTTTAAGGCTTTCGAGGGCCCGCCGATGCGTCTTTCCTAATGGATTAAATCCTCCTTCTGTTTCTATAATTCGGTAATTTAAGACGAGACGTTTTCGGCTTGTTTTTCCCTGCTGCGTCGTCTTTTACCCGGCAAATCGACGTATCAATTCGCGTAGAACCGGCGGCGATTAAAAACGCGATGGCTTTTTCTCGTCGGGAAAATTACAATCGCCGGCGCTGTAAAGCCGCTGGAAATTAGCCAAAAGGGCTTGTAACGGCGACACGCCATTCGGAGCCGATTTAATTTGTTAGGTGGAATTTTAGAAAATGCTCTCTACTCGCCATTTCGTTTCCCAAATCGGTCAATAAAGATTCGAGAACAAACAACAGAAAGTAGAACGATGTGGGTGTTTCTTAAAAAGTTATTTTTAACATTCATGGGCTTTTCAGAAAAAGCTTCTTTCCGGTGCTTTTAAAGCGGTTTATTATTACGTTTATTTTTGGAGCCTTTTTGTAGGTTGCATTAGTAATTTTCGAAGTCTTTTTTTAGTTTTTTCCCTGCTTCCCGTTGCTTTCATCTCTCCAATATCACTCAGAGACGTCGATGTTTCAATTTACCTGGAAAATGGTCGCGATTAAAATCCCCCAGTCTCCCGACAGAGAGCTTTTAGAGAAAAAATGGGACCAGTTAATGTGCGCTCGCCGAATCAATAAGGACACTTTCGCAGCCGAAACAATACTTAAAAATTTTTAACGAGACGATTCGCGCGTTTCGTTTGAAAAATCGCGAAACTTCGCGTTATTCTCGACTGAAAAACAACAGGGCCATAACTCAAACGGCGCGTCCCTAATTTAAGGAGCAATAGCGATATTTCAAATGTTACGTACAACTGTTGAAAAATTAATTTAATTCTTATATAGAGGGTGCTACAGGTTTATAGCGTCAAAATGGATTTATCGCTTAAAAATAAGAAAAAAGTTTTGTATTTTTTGGGCTTTTTAACGGGCGATTTATTAAAGAGGTAGGATATTTTACCTTTACAACATAACTTCTATTGTCGGTGCAAAACAAATATCAATGCTCGTCACCTATAGTTAACTACGTCACAAGTAGGCAGTGTTGCCGAACTTTAATAAAAATCTAAGAATTTTCTAAAATTGTTAAACGACAAAATGACAACAAATTGAAAATTAGGGGACCTGTTTCACGTGTCTAAAGGGCGGACGTATTCAGGGGCTCACTATAATTAATCATCAAATTCCTTTATCATCTGAAATATATTTAAAAGTGCGAGTGAAAAATTTAGTGTACAATTAACCCTTAAAAGAGTACATAGTGAAATTTCTGAGAAAAATTCTAAATCTGAATTATTTAGAGCTCAAATTGTGTCATTTCTAACATGTGGAAACGATAACTACGCAAAAATTCATATTTCTTGATTACTCGGCTGAATAGCCTTTAGTAGTTGAGGCTAGTAAACTAGAAAAAAGAAAAAGAAATTGAAAATTAGTATGAAATTTTGACAACTTTTTTGGATGATTTAATTCTGCTTTTTAAAATTTTCTATCATCTCTTGTTAATATTAAATTAAATTCTGCAGGTATTAAGCTTAATCTATTTTGTGTATTTATTTTTAAAAGTTGAACACAATGCTTTGGCAAGTATGACGACAGTAGTGACGTAGATTAATATTTGTTTTGCACCGACTGTATTCAATCTTTCAATTCCTTAATGCAAACATGATAAGTTAAATTTTACTAGATTTAGGAATATTGGGAACAAATATTATTTATTGATTTACTTTTAGTAAACCATCAGCATATCCTGTTTGTTGATGGTACACGAGTTATCCAAGTGAGCGCATTAAGCTTGGCTCTTCAATGGACAATTAGACAAATATTGATGCGTAAGTAACGAATTTCCGGGATAACCGAGCCGTTCGATGTCGGATGAACCCATCGAGTTATGTACGTGCCGTTTCGGAAGGAATGCCAATAGCTCCGCGTCGGGAGGATTTATCGATGGCGTTTGACGAGATAATGAAACTTCGTTCGTAATTAAGGACGCTTTGATGACTGCGTATCATACGAGAAACGGGTGCACTGACTCCGCAATCGATAAGATTCGTAATTTACGACGCTCGAAATTCGCCGACTACGAAGAATTTACACCCTGTATAAATTCCAGTGTATTTTCAAGAAACGTTTAGGGGACATTTTAATTATATCCGGGAAGTGTAACGACGGAAACGCGCCATCCAAACCGTCCTAATTAGCTGCCAAGGAACGGCCGCTCCCAGCCGTAGCGCCTCCTCGGCGAACCGAACTTGCGGAAACGTCGACATTAGTTAAAGTCCTTAAGTGGAAGTGTCTCCCCTTAATTGAGCCGAAATTTGCTTAACCCTCCAATTAAATCGGACGGCGAATTTAACCGGGCCCCGTCAATTTGCGCGACACCGAAATCGACTTTCCGGTATACACGCACCCAACTTTTCTAATTATTTATCTCGATTTTTCCTGCTTTTCACAACGCCGCAACGGTAACCCTCGTCAGCGGCGCCGCCAAAGCCGCAGGAGCCCTTTAGCAGCGCTCGCAACGATCCCGAAGGCGCTGGCGGGAGGACGTTGTTAAGTTCAGAGCCGGTGTGGGCGATAAACACGAATAAACTGGCGGGGTTTTTTACGAGATAAGGACGATAGCGCTGCGTTTCGGTATATAAGGCAATATTTTTTGCCTAAATAAATAAGCGAGCGTGTGGGATGTAACCGGAGTTTATTAGGCTCTTTTGGTTATTAGCTATCCTGAAATAAAGCTCAAACAACAGCTTTAAGAAGGTGGTGTAGAGAAACTGTACAAAAAGTTATATCTTTAACTTTTTCAAATTTGGGAAGTCGTAAAAATTGTGTAGAGTGTATAGCATTAATACTTGATAAAATAAAATGATACCTTTTGTGTTTTGAAACTCCTTAATGAGCAACACCTTCAATCTATTGTATAAAGTAAAGGATCTTTGAAATACACTTTAATTTAGGTGTGAAATTTCTTTAGTAGAAGACTGTACGCGAGGAAAAAACATCGCGATAAAAGTTATCTTAAGCAGGCGATTCTTCCATTATACCCGGGAAATAAAATGTAATTTTCGATGGCGACAAATGCGAGAGATCGGCAATTAGGAAGTAATCGCAGATTCGACTCTGATCATCTTATCCATTTCCACTCTAACGTTTGCTTGGAATAGAGTTAAAATAAAGGGAAATTTTTCGAAAATTTCATGGACAAATTGTCAAAGGGAATAGTGGATGTATATTTTATGAAAACAGAGAAAATTAGGTGGTAATTTTCGAGAAGCTTTGATGTAAATTTCATGAAAAGGGGGGGTATAAACTTGGGATTGTTCGGGAGAATTTTGCACATGGCGCGGAAGAGCGGAAGAGCACTGCAGTAATTATTTTTATCTTTCCCGTCAAAATGAGTTTCAACCAGAGTAAAAACGCTCTTCTTTATTAAAAAAATCCCGACTTTTTTCCACCCTTTAGGTAAAAGTATTGACTGTATGTGTAGTAAATGTATGTCGGGCTGGGTTCTTTCCCATTCTGTCACCTAACTTATCCATTCCACCATCTGGAAACAGTTTAATCGACATGACCTAAATGCAACATAATTGTCAATCCTTGTAAAACATAAAAACGAGCCCGGAAAAACGAGCATTCGTTCGCATTTGCGAGAACGGCGTAATAACGTACGAGCGACGTGACGAGTTTTCCAATTTTCCGCTCGTTAAATACGAAACATATTTCAGTATACACTTTATCGACTCTTTTAATGTTTACTATTAACTAAAAGGCACACGCAGTTGCAAGAAAACTAAAATTTCGTGAAAAGTACGTAACATTTTATATATTATGAGGTGCGAAAATCAACCTAACGCTATTTTAACGTTACTTTAACGTTGCGTTTTAATTCGAAATAACACAGTTAATTCTTCCACTTGAGCACCAAATCGAAATGAATGTTCGTGAATTTTTAACGCCTCGATCCTTTGAGCTTCCCGTAGCACGCCAAACTTATTAAACCAGTTTGGCAAAGAGGGCAAATTAAATTCATCAATTGT